CCAATGTTGTGCCAATTAAAAATTTTCTTAACATGGATTAACAAAGGGGTTGGATAGGGAATGGCGGAACTATGCATTGGCCAGCCAACAGCCCCGACTCAACTTTAATGGACTTTTTTTCACGTGCACAGTAATAATGTCGTGGAACCTTGGCAAACGATTTCAGAGGCAATCAATCAGTTTACAATTAGAGTGTATGAGGAATGTGTTCGGGAAAATGGTGGTCATATACAGCAAGTATTTAGAATAGTTAAAGAATTTTTTACTTTAGTGTGTCTTGTCATTTTTAGTATTTTTGTTCTTCTTTAATTTGTAAATAATTATTGTTGTTGCAGTCAGTCATGGCACTCTTTAAAATTATATACAAATTTCCTATTTTTACCGATTTGTCAAAAACTAGTAGACTAAAATATAAAGTGTGTTACATCATTGTAATCGGAATAAGATATTCTATTAAATACATATATACCACAAAAAAAATATATGATGTAGGCTTATATGTCAGAAAATTGATAGTGTTTTGTTTCATACGTCACTAGTTGCTTTAGTATTAAAAATGTTGCGGTTCTAAGAAAATCTTAGCTATTACTCAAAATTATATCTAAGGAAAAATAAATTTAGCAACAGGAAGAATGGCTTTATGAATTTTCACACTCGTCCTTCAAAGGTTCTTCGACAAATCCGGTACGACCAAAATTAAGCAAAATAACATGTCTCTTACCTCTTTTCGGTTTGTCTATTTATTCGCCGTTTTGCGGAACACAAGCTCCTGTTTCGCTTTTTACGATTTGGTGTAGCGATTTTTACGTGCTACGGAAGTCCATAAAACTGTGTCACATGGGAGTTTTATTTTTACTCGAAATATTATTGTATGGCGTGACTATAAAACCGTTGGTGTCGGCTAAGTCAAGCACTCGGTATAAATTACATATTTTTATTTAAAAAGCGGTTTTACTGATGTGAGCGTATTACGTAATTATAATTAAAACAACAACCAAGGCAAAAAATTAGATCAAATATGTTTTTCAAAGAAACTTCCACATCCTACTGTAATATTTTTAAAAAAACTTTTGAATTCCTCCTTCGTCGGTTTTTGTTGAGTCGAACTAGCTATTTTTGTTTTTTTATTACCCAACATAAAAAATATTCAGTTGGGTTCATTGATACGCAAGCCAAATGAACGAAATAATGTTGTTGCTTCAAACTTGTACGAAGCTAGTTCGACACAACAAAAACCGACCCGGGAGGAATCCAGAAATTTTATAAAAAGCAGATCAAATATGGTTGTGATGCACAAACCCAATGCGTTCTCCAAATGCTAACAAAAAACTGCTTCTTAATGACATACTTGCTACATACTGGCAAGATTTCAATTCATACTTTTGGAGTATTTCAAATATTTATTCTAGGTGGAGCGGTAATCGGTTTTTCTTGCTTCATTAAACGCCCATTTAGTGAATATTGGCCTCTAATATTTAAACAGAATGGTAAAAAATATAAATCAGATTTGTTTTGTTTCCAGTTGTAAATCCTTAAGTCAAGAAACTAACAAGAGAACTCAGTATCGTCTTGCGAAAGCCTACGTACGTTAGGTAGGTAAAAACATAATGAAGTTATACAGTTTTTCAGACACATTAAAGGAAATATGAACTGGCGCTGTTTAAAGTAACGTATAAAGTATATATTTATATAAAAGATACATTATTACATATCAATGTATTGAAAAATTAGTGCCTGAACCAAAAAAATCGTTTCGATTAAATAGACTTAAGTTCTCAAACAAGTCGAAACATTTTGATGTTACCGCTTACTCCGAGTGGAACCAGAAAAACAAACCACGAACTGGGGGAAATTTAAAAAATTGACGAAAAATTGCAGTTTTATTTTTTTTTTCTGTGCTGTTCAGTGAAAAACCGACTTTAACGAGCTGCTCAGACATTGCGTGCAGATATTGTGCAGAAATATATATTACCATTATTAAAAGATCTGAAACGCTTAAAAACAATGCAACACTATCAGCAAGACATTTATTTTATTCAATTTATTATTTTTCAACGTCTTTGACTCATTGCCTAAATTATCGTTCAAATCGACGAATTAAATAATTAAAGCCATAAAAATACAAGAAGTGTTTTTTTATTACCCAACATAAAAAATGTGGTTCAGTTGGGTTCATTGATACTCAAGCCAAATGAATGAAATAATGTTGTTGCTTAAAACTTGTATGAAACACTCTGTAATTACATGTCAGGCATTATTTATACCTTTCCAGCATAAAAACAAACAAAAAAACGTATTTGATTTTTAATTAGCGCTTGTTATCTATTGGCTTCTAGAAGTCCCTTTCAAATAGAATATTTTTTCATTTTGTCATTTCGTCGAATAGTCAGGTCTAGTAAACGATAAATATGGCCACAATGAAAAATGTTACATATTTTACAGTTATATTTTATTTACGTATCTATGATAATGCACTCTATAATGGTAGCTAAAAATCTTACCAATTTTTCATAATGAAACTGATGATTTCCCGCATTTACTTCTAAAAGTTTCACACTAACCTGCATTTTGCGCCTTTTTCTTTGGAAACGGCGATCTTCTCACACTTACTCGCTTTTCGAGAATAGTTAACGAGATATTAACGACAAATTTTAAGAAAATACTGCAGTAAAAATGTCACATCAAAAATGAAAATTGTCGAATTAATGAACTGTAAGCGACCATATTGCTTGTTGAACGTCGGGCTGGTTTGAAATGATGATGAACAAGATTTCAAATGACCGTGGACGCGTATATTTAATGAACCTTCTCAGCCTGGCCTCTATACTCTAAAAGGACTTCGAACTTTCATTGTTTTTATTTAATTTAATATTACAACAAATATAAACTAAACTAATTCCAAAGACTACAGCGCTTAGATACTGATTTGAGCCCTTCATCCCCGACAGAGTGGGTGCTGTGAACCTTGAAGTTGATCGTGATGCCAGCACTGACGTTCTTTATAGTCGTTGCAAAATCGGATTGTTCAAAACGTGTGTTTACTATGACAAGTTTCCTTAAATTGGCGCTTCTTGGGCCCTTGAACATTTAATGTTAGGGTGTTATCCCCGATCTTAATGTGCGTGCACGTTTTTGTGTTCTTAGCTTGACGATAAAGACCATAAACAATAGAAATTTGAACCTACATATTTTTTCCAAATTTTGCCGTATTATCTCCATAATAGCTGGACTACCGTTTCATTATTATCTGTGTACAAGCAATCTAAACATTTATAAATTGAGGCGTAAAAATCGCCTCCACATAAATAAACACATTTAAAGTTCACATCGTACTGTGAGAAAATGGTAGTTAATGAATATCTCGGAACTTTGTAAAGCTCCATTTTGAAAAATAATTTTATCTTTTGCTTTGAAAACAAGCTGTTCACAAATTCAGTTTAGGCGCTTTTGTACAGCAGAAACAGAAAAATGTTGGCGAAAGTTTTAAATTGTCATATGGGTCTATTTTTATCTTTGCCGCAGATTTAGGAGACACATCCGTGACAAAAAGGGACCCCTTAATTTGAATATGCATTTCCACCGTGGCCAATTTTATTCCCTAATTAAAGTGAACACCAGTTTCCGGTTTAAGTTCATTAGAGGCGAACTTTAGTGGGGGCGGTCAAGTCGCTTATTCGGTTTTCGACACTTTGGATTTACATATATGTTCAACAGTTTATTATAACTACCCTATCTGTCTTATCGTTGTAGGAAAGTTTTTTAGAACACAGGAAGCTAACTACATAAGTGGAATTTAGCAAAAGTCGTATGCTTTTATAACTAAAGAAAATACACAAGAACTAACTACAGATGGGCAACAAGTCGTGGCAAATGTTAAACATTAAAAAATGATGGCAGTAAAACTGAGATCTGAGGTAGCGCTCTGCTTGATACTTACCCTTATTCCTTAATCAAATATAGGTACTTATTACTTTGTATCTTATTATGTTTATGTGTAATTAAGTGCTGATAGGTTTTTCACGTTTATTTTTTATTCACATAAAAATATACAAAACCAAACGGTGATAAAAATATATCTTTCGGAAACAAACATACAGATTAGGCATGTTTGAATATTTTAATGCATACGAGAATTCGATAATGCTTGAAATACTGAAATATGTTACTAAAAAACGTCTTTTTTTTCTAAATTCGTCTTCCTGGCAAATCATATTTTAAAATTCTTCATGTTGTAAATGTAAAACCTAGGAGTTTTGGTTTACTTCGGCTACAAATATAATAATATAATTCATGCAAATGTAGAGTAAATCCTAATCTGAACTGTTTCAATTTTTTTTCTGGTAGCGAAGTTCATATTCTAACTTTATTTTGAATATTAATGTCGCAATATGTATTTGCAGCGGATTTTTGTCAAAATCAACAAGGTTTCTCTCGCAAGAGCTGCGTAAGGTTAATAACCCGTATGACGTATGTGGCCTGCTCAATATAAGGAGTTGTATGAGTTATACAATGTTCTGTAATAAGAATTTGACTACACATAAAACTTAAAGCCAAAACAAGGAAACAAAATTCTAAATTTGATTGATTGAACGTTTGTGCTAAATTTGAGGAAATAAATCGCGTCATCGGATGCAATATTAGTGGTTAAAGTAGCCCACGACTCACCATGGTTATAAGAAAATAGGCTGCCAGCCATTTTGTGTTCTGTGATCAATTCTGAAGTTTTGTCGTTCTTGGTAGGTCACTTTGACCCACAAAGTACCCATAAATCCGCCGACAGTTCGGATAGTGCTTGAATGAAGCTCATTTTTTGTGGAATTAATTTAGTTAGTATTTAATGGTAATCAGCAAATAAGTTCTATCAAAGATTTCGAAAAAGGGGCAAATGAATGGGCACAACGTTCAAGCTAAACTTTTGAAAAGAAGAAGATGATGCCAACCTTACTCCTCTCTGGATGTGATAAATCAGCTGCAGTAGAAATAAATAAGAAATAGAAAAGCAGGGTTCTTCTCATTTTCTTCTTTATTTCATTTAAAATTTTAGGTACTACGGGGCTAAGGACTTTTTTGCCTAGCTAAAGACGAAATGAATATTTTTTGCAGTGCAATTGTCAGTCTTCATTTGAGCGAATTTAGCCGCCAAATTATACTAAGGAAACGTTATTATTAAATCAAAAAATGGATAAACAAAGTTTGCTTAAAATATCCAGTACAATTGCAGTTCTCAAGGAAAAGATAAAATGTACAATCTGGTAATGCCTGCTTTTCTTATATGTTCTGTAACTAAAAGCAATGCATATTACAGTTTGGATTTGGTGCAAGATTCAATGCAGCTAGATTGCAATCACAGATTTTGTAAGAATTGCATAACTGAGCATCGCTCTCACAAATATTCATCTTGTCCTTTGTGTAAGAAACCTCTCAAACGTCGTATAAATTATAAAGATCAATTTGCGGATGAGCTAAGTAAATTTGTTAATCAAGTATATGGACTTATTAACGACAAATATGGGTCTAAGGGTAGGAAATAAGATCATGCTCTGTAATTAAATTTAATTTACTGTGATTTTTAGTGGAAACAATATTCAAAGGAAATATGCAGCATGCAGCTAATACTTCAAATGAAATAAATAATGTTTCTGGTGACGGTTCTTCAAAAATACAGGCTCAAAAAGAGCTAGATATAACCAAGCCCACAACAGATGCTTTTAGCATATTAAAGGATAAACCTATTAGGTGCTATGGTAACAATAGACAGCAGAGAAAAAAACAAGAGTTGCAAAAATATGTTTTAGAGTTTCAAAACTCTGAAACTCGGAACAGAATAATAGATTGGTTAAATTGTACCCAACAAAAATATGACATTATAAATAAGACAGAAAATGCAAAAGCTAGGTTGGTGGAAATTAGTACAGAAAATGTATCAAACAGAATAAGGTCTCAATCCTTAAATTTGGGTGACAATAATTTCTCTGCAAAATTGGTCAACCGTTACCATAGCTTAAATGAAGGGTTACATGAAACTGATAATTATCAAATTGAGGAAATTGAATCAGAAAAATTGCTTCGACAAGTTGAAAGAAAAGTGGTGCAAAACATGTTAGAGGAAGATTGCTTGGAGAATTTGGAGAAATTGGCTAAGGAAAGTGTTTTATCACATAAAAAGACTACAAAGAAGAGAAAAAAAAAATCTCCAAGTTGCAGATCTTCTGGTTGGGACAGGATAAAAGTCGTCAATAGAACTATTAATAAAGCTTGTAAAATACCAAAAAAATTAAATATTAGCCTGCAGTCCTCTCAGATTAATGAAAACCGAAAAGTTGCGGATAAAGAAAGTTCTAAATTAAAAAAAAATGTTTTGAAAGAAGGTAAGTTACACTCTTGTTATTTACTTTTTAATAATGAGTTTTTTTTTTAGAAATTCAAAAAGAGAATAAGGAAAATGAGAATAATCAGAAGGTACTTAATTGTTACTAATTTTTGTGTGGTTGCATTTATTTTCAATATATGTCTTTACAAAAACTGAAAAATTGTAGGTTGCAGGCGGTAGTCATCAGGAGCATGAATCAAATATTGTAAACCCAACTTACAGCTTGAGTGTCGTTGAAAAATATTTTCTCCAAAATATAAACACAATAGACATTGATAAAGATACTTCTTCAGAATCGTGCACTGATTTATGTAAAAACCAATTTCCGGTTGGTAAAAAAGATGTGAAGTTATTAAGGGACAATAGAAATAAAGAAACGGAACTGGAAAAATCTGTAGCGGACGAAGATATTTTTTCCCTGCCAACTCAAAAGACATTACATAGTCCTAAACACAGAGATATGTTCTGTGTGTTTCCAGTTACAACAAATTTTGCTAAAACCGAAGAAATTGTTTCAACTCTGTCAAATATTTTAGAAAATTGTGTGTCCGAATCAAAGTCTATACATGGAGACATGTCCGTTTGTTTAACCAAATGTTTTTCAAACATAAAATCGTATGTAGACAAAATCAAAACTCTAAGAGTGAATACTGACAATAAGGAGACACAAACCCATCAAAATTTTTGCACTACGAAAACTCAAACAGACAATTTAAGTTTACGATCACAAGAAGTACAAACTTCATTCCAGGGCATAATCACACAAACTTCAGAGGAACATAATATTCCTCAAGAAGGCAATAAAACAGAATTAGATAGTAATTCAAATGATGTATGTATTCAGCAACTTAATACCAAAGAGAATGTTGAAAATTCTGCAGGGTCAGTATTAGTTTGCAGCATTCCAACTGGTCTGGAAGACAAAATCAAACGAAAATTGACATTTTCAGACATTACCCAAAGGTTTAAAAGAATTCGTAAACCTTCTTGCAATAGTGATTCGGACGATGATGGTACCTTACATAAAAAAGAGTGTAATCGATTTATAAGAGACGATTTGACTGTTCAGTTTGTAGAGACTGAAACTGAAGGTAATAATATTGAGAAGGCAAGTGAGAATTCTCAAGGCAGCGAGGACATTTTAAATGATGTATGTATTACTTCCTAAATATTTTTATGTTTAGTAAACCCACCAAAACTTTCTTGTATTGAAAAAGAAATGGCATGATTTCACTTTTTAACTTGTTGTTTTTACACTTTAAATATAAACCAGGTATCAATTTTTCCTTCTAGAATTATTTGGAGGAGATTATGAGAAAATACGGTGACTCTCCCCCCAAACAAGTGGTTAAACAAAGTAAAAATGAAGAAACCACCAAATTTGAAAGTGCAAGTGTTGCTGACGTTCGTGGTGAAGAAAAATATAATTCTCAGAAAGGCATTCACAATAAGACCCCAAAATCTCAAAAGTCTGATGTTAGTGGGCAAATTTTTACAGCAAACGACACGTTTCAAAAAAATCAGACCAAATTTGACAAAGAAAAAGAAAAGGCTGAAAAACTACGCAATGAGTTCAGCTCAGAAAATGATATCGTTGAAGACACCCCAGTTTTAGAACCTAAAAACAAAAAGCCTAAGCTTCAATTGTCAAAGAATACAGATATTAAAGTATCATTACTACAGCGTCCCCTTGAAATTAAAAGTAAAACATCACCAAAGTGCGGCAATGGTGACACTGGCCTGAAACTAAATAATTCTGTTGTATATTCTACAGAGAGAGAAGTTGCTGAAATGCTAGAAAATCTTGAAAATGATGAATTTTTTGAGGATATGGATTATGAAACTCAGAACAAAACAGCACAAAAATATAATCCTGCTGTAAATGAACAACCCAAAACAAATTGTGAAAATAGTGGATTTCGAGAGCTGGCAACAATACAAAATGATAATGTCGAAACAATTGAGAATTATTTTGATGGGGATGACCAAGTTGAAGCAGAATTAGAAAGAATTTGTATCAGTGCTGAACAAAGAAAAGTAGAGGAAATGGAGAATGTTAGTAAAGTGAAGATTTTGCAAAATATTAGAATTAGACATGAAGTAGTTTCAGCCAATGATATAATCAGTGATAGTAATTCTGACCTCAGCGATGAAGAGGTAGTGGAAACTACTCCAGACAACCTTAAACTTTCTTCAACCCCAAATAGGTATGCTCACATCTTATGTTAAATCAGCTTACTGGCTTCAAAAAACATCCCATCCCGTCACTCACAGTGGAGTATAAGAGTATGAATTAATGAAAGGATGACATGGTTGTCTTTTTAATTCCTACTGCTTTATAGATTTGATTTCTAGTACTAATTTATCACTTTCAGCTGTTTTAAAAAATTTAAAATGATATTAAAAATTAAAGCACATAGTACTCAACAAACCATAGGCAATTAGGACAATTTCTGACAATTTTTAACCACAGCAATTTATGATGCTTCTCTCCTGTCTTAAATTAAAAATTTCAAAATAGATAAAAGTTTCCCACAAAGAGAATTAAAAATACAATATTTATCTTGCAAAAGTGTAGGCCTATTATTATTATTGCTAAAATTTCGTTTATTTTCATTTCGCTTTTAAGCATGATTTGTAGTTTCCAGTTCAATTTAGTCCAGTTACGTTCTATCACTTAAATCTATGTAGAGTCAGACTCGCATTAAACGTTCTTTATTAATCACTCTGGCAAAAGATAAAGTAATAATTACTTCACTTTCAACATGTCAGACAAAATTGTTGACATCTTTATGCCCTAGAGAATTTATCAAACTACCGAAAAGTTTATATGGATACTTACCTAATATATATATTCAAAATTGTTTTTTTTTTTGTTTACTTCTTTCACTTACTAGACTGCATTTTATCTTCACTAGTGGTTGCTTGCATTGTATAGTTTTTGGATGTCCCTGCGGTCATAGCCTGCCAAACTACTCCTTGTATGTGTTTATTATTTTGGCAGACTTTGTTAGATATTAAAAATTCTCAGAAAAGAAATTTTTAGGTTCTTCAATGGTCTGGAAAATGTTTCCAATTTGTCTCCTACTAAAAACAATTTGGATGATTTATGCTTACCACCACCTCCAGGCTTCGGAGATGAACCCAAATTAGAAAGTCCAGTCGAAATCGACAATGAAATTTTAAACAAATCTCAGTTAACCCCAGACAGACTAACAGACTTTATAGTTACTCCTCAGACATACTGGTCACGTAGAGAAGAGAAGTCTCTGAAGTGTTCTCAACTATCTAATATATCATTGGTTATAGCCACCAACACACCCAAACTACACACAAAAATTCAACATAGCACCCCCACTTCTCAAGCAAAATATATAGAAACTCTAAATTTTTCCCCAATTAATAAAGTAACCACACAAAATTTTCAAGGAACATGTCTGGGTATATCTCGAAAAACACCCTTGGTAACTTCGTCAAAGTCAGCTACCAAAACGCAAAATCTAATGACTAGCACACCTAACCAAAGGAGCATTTTAAATTATGTCAAGTCCTCCCAAGAAAATGCCAATAGTGCCAAAACCAAACCTTGCATAATATGGACCAGAATTGTCAACAAAGATCTCCAAGTTTTTAAGGAATTGGAAGTGAAAAAATTAGTTACTGTGAGTAATTCATTTGGTCCCTCGACTACTCATCTGGTAGTTGTAGTTGATGAAAATGGTCGCCTAAAATCGCACACAGCCAAGTTTCTACTAGCGGTAGCGGCGGGTCTGTGGGTTGTGAGATATGAATGGGCTCAGGATTGTTTAAAGTACAATAGAATTGTTTCAGAGGTAAAGGTCATTAATTTACTTGTATCAGTTGGTTATTTACGTGTGTTGTAGGAGCCATATGAAGCTCTTGATTTATCTGGAGTACCTGGACCAAAGATCTCAAGAACCACAAGGTTAATTAACCCTTTGTTTAAGGGTTTCCGATTTTGTTGTGCACCTCCATTTTCAATTGTTTCCAGAACAGAAATCGAGGTTAATTAAATTCTCGCCCATTTAAATGTTAAACCTAATTTTATTCCTTATAGAATGCTCTGAAAATGCTTGGGGCTCAAATAGTAAACCACCCCAGAGATTTACAAAAAAATGATGACCATATAGTTATCATCTTAACAGATACCACAGCAACTGAAGAAATAAATCAATTTGAATGTAAGTTCATTTTATTGTTTTCTATATTATATTAATATTATTCTAAAATTGTTTATCAAATAGACATTCACAAAACAACACCTTGTTATAATCATTATTACAGTGATGAGATAAGGCCCTCATGAATCTAGAAGAATGTTAATCTTGGTGTGTTTTTTTTTTGTAAAGCGTCGTTTAATTCTAGCTTTTCTCGAGGATTACAAAACCGTAACGGTAGACATAGAGTGGTTGACGAAGTGCATTGGCCAATACAAAATTGTTAGTTTTCGTCCATATCTGCTTTGTTCGGATGAACTGATCTGTGATTTGGGTTACCCCTCAGTGTTAATAGAATCCGTGCCATTCACGCTAACTGAAGCAACATTAGGTAATTAAGTTTTTTGTTTACTTTTCAAAGAGATTTTATATCACTATACTTTTATATCTATTTGTTTTGTAATATCAGTGTACATTACGTTTTTGTATTTTTCTATGAATATATTATTTTTCAAATGTAATCATCGCCTTTATTTCAGACTTACAGTAAGTAATATTTAGTAATTATTATTAGTAACCAACAAAAACTCTAAGTCATTGATCCAAACTTTTAGTGCGGTCAGTCGTAGCGCATATCCGAAATAAATTTAGAATTTTGTGCGGAATATAAAAACAATATTCCACGTTTTTTACTTAAAATATCATAGTGGTTATGACTTTTTAATTATCTCTGGTAACACTGCGATAGTTAGAATATTTTTAATTTACAGACCACTCATTCGATGTGCAAGATATTGCGCACATCTACACGCTTTAAATATACAAAACAAATTCAACTTAATAATAATAATCCGTGACAAAATGCTACCAAAACTACCATTCGATTCTACTTGCAGGGCTATCTACTTAGAAGTCGTATTCAGCAGAACGGGATCTTAATCGACTAATAAGTAAATAAATAAAACATTTTTTTCTGTAAAAAATCTTATAAATGAAAAATATAAAATACACTCGAACTCGATATAAATTCACAACCTCAAATATTCGTAGGTAAAATAAGATGTGTTGTGGATAAATTGCCCTAAGGATTTACTGCCCCTATAAACAAAATCGTCGAAATAGAATCGTTTGCCGAGCTGAAAATTTAACTCTCTTGCGAATTTCTGTGTGGCCGGCGCCGTAAATATGCCGGTCATAATTTCTGGCGGGACCAACTCATACGTATCGTGGTTTTCGTAAGGAGCGCGCACATCTCTACCATCTCTGAGACACTTGGCTATGGTAACGCTCACTTCGCACAATTTTTTCCCTATGCCTTGCCTTCGAAACTCTGGAATCACGCCCAGGAACATTAGTTCCATCACGCTGTCGACTTGACAATGTTCGAATATGTCAAATCTATTCTCCACGTCTATCATCCACTGAAGAACGCCTATCGACGATGAATGTTTGAACGTCCTCAAAAATTTCGCGTAATTGCTTACATTTCCAGGTGTCTGAAAGAAGAGCACGATAGTTTTCAACATGGATGTACAATTGCACAGAAACAACCTGCAATTTATTCAAAACTGCACCTGCTACTTCTCCGGATGCCTTTTCTATTGCAGCAACGGACACTCCATCTTTTATCGTCTCTAATAGTAGCTGGTCTAGTTCTTCAAAGGATTCTCGATGATGAGGGACGTCAAATGCTACGCAGATATTCTCATTCAAGTAGAAGGATTGCCGCATGGCGTTTATGGATGCGTCGAGCAAATCTTCAGTGAGAGTTACATACTCAATGGATCCTTGAAAGGTACACAAGTTAACATAAAGAAACTACAGGAAATGGAAATCTTGGAGAATGAGTAAAACTTTAACCACGTCTCATACAATATTTTAACATATTTTTTTTAATTTAATTTAAAAAAATATATACAATATATAAATAATGTACATCTAATACGCGCATGCGCGAACATTTGAAATCTTATTTTCAACCAATAAGACCAAACGGCCTTCAACAAGAATCATGGCCGCTGACATTTCGTCAATTCGACCGGTTTCAGATTAAAAGTAGCAGATCTCGTTAAATGGTCTGCGAAAACGGGTTAAGTATCTGGAGAACACTGTTTAGAAATAAAATGGCTCAAAATGAAGATTGGCGTTAGTGCTTGATCCACAATGTTATCTAATTACCTAATTAACATCTTTTAATTTTAAACATATTTAAATTTCTTTTATATTGCAAAATCCCCTAGGACCATTATACTACTACTTTATCCAATGGCATTCAAAATACTAGGTGTTTCAGCAAGTGCAAAAATTTGAAAAAAAACTATATATATATTTTATTATTATATATATATATATATATATATATATATATATATATATATATATATATATATATATATATATATATATATATATATATATATATATATATATATATATATATATATATATATATATATATATATATATATATATATATATATATATATATATATGATGACACTATATTCCGGGATATCATCCGTTCGCTCGTTGAACTCCGACTGGAATCCTGCAGACGTTTCGCCATGTGCCGAAATGAATTTGCAAACAAATAGCTAATATTCCTGATTTTAGGACTAGGATTATACGAGAGGCCATCGAAATAGAAAAGTCCGGACACCTCAATACGAGAGACGACGCTCTGCATTTATCCAGCACGTGGAGAACGACAATCAAACAGCAGAGCGATGCGCAGCAGCCAACGGGGACATCGCAACTACGATCGGGCGAAATTAACAACGCGACAATTCAGGGGGCGGAGCCACCTCCCCCCACGCACAAGCAGCACCGTTACCATCTCCGGCGCAGAGTATAAATACCGCACGCACCGCCGATAACCTCCCAGTGTTCGAAGTGTTTTCGGAGCGCGAGCATTGAGGATGCCAAGTGAGATTTTGGCGAAACGTCTGCAGGATTCCAGTCGGATGCATGATTTGCAGGATTCCAGTCGGATGCAGGATTCCAGTCGGAGTTCAACGAGCGAACGGATGATATCCCGGAATATAGTGTCATCACATTTTTCCATCCGTGAATCAATACGTGAGGATTATATATATATATATATATATATATATATATATATATATATATATATATATATATATATATATATATATATATATATATATATATATATATATATATATATATATATATATTCGCCAGGGATTTTTTTAAAAGCTGAAACAAAATCAAATGTTTGTTTAATGCTCTTTGTCCATTGCAATAAATAACAACAGGCTGTCAATTGTGCTTATAAATGAGGCAATTGCGATTGCTTAACTTGTCGCCAGGTCTCTCGTTGCCTCGTGGCCCTTACAGGGACACCCGGTACAACAATATAATAAATAATTTTAGTTTCATATTAACAAAATATTCGGGGTATGTATATGAATGTATTTTTTTATTTTCTGGGTGATAACATTGTGAATTAATTGTTGCTTACCGTCTTCACCAGTTGCCCAAATTCTGCGCGCCATCGGATATTAACCTAAAAATAAGTAACATAAAACAAACAAGTACGCATTTATCTACAAGATAATGCAAAAATACAAAATAAAATACTTCAAACTGTGGATTTGCCTGAGTGGTATCCGCTGTGTAATAGGGGATAAAATTTCAAAATTTTTAATAAAAATAAATGACTTAAAGATAAAACATAGATATTTCGTAGTCTCCTGGATATTTGAAAAGTATTTATCTTGTTGATAGCGATCAAACACAAGCAAATAGAAATCGAAGAAATGCGATAAAAAAAATTGCTTCAATAATAACGAGATCAACTATATCAGCTAATATCAAACATTAATCTTTGCAAAACAAAAAGAGCCATTCGATCCATCCATCGGCGCTCGGAATATTGCCCATTTCCCTCCCTCTTTCATGGCACTTTCGAGAAGGTGTTAAATGTTTGAACGTGGTCCGACGATTTTGTTAGCTCTCTGCATTTTAAGTGTGTAAAAAAAAGAGAATATTGTATTCTCTTGTTGAGTTGATAGACGACAAGAGAACTCTTATTTAAAAATACGTACATGAGACTCCGAGTACACTTGGCAACAATAAATTACAATCAAAAATTTAACGCCTTCTTACTTTCGTGGCAGCATACAATTATGGGTCCGTGGTATATCATAAACTAACCAAACATAAATTGTTTTTCTATCGGTGACGAAGTTCCAAAGTGGTATACATATCTCTGAAAGGTGATTTACGCTATCGTGTGATTTTATTTGGTAAAGTGATAGGATGTGTAAAGTGTAGATGACGGCAGTGAAAACTGAATTGTTAAAATCTATAAGACAAATGACCCTGGAATCCTTAAAAAAATTTGCAAAAAATCTCGGTCATTTTTCAACAGCTGCATGAGCTAAATTAAATTATTAAATAAACTAATTAAAATAAATAATTATATTCGCTTAAATTGGTAGAATTACAAAAATAAAAGTAAAAATAATTTTCAAATTTTGCAATTTAATTTTCCAAGTAAAAATGTTAACAAAGTGATGACGTTTCAAAAAACTTAAGTTAGAGCCATACGAAAATCAAATTCGGATTTCGCACTTCAAAAGATTCTCAAAACTATTTCAAGTATTATTTCTAAAAAAAAACTAAAATAAGACTAACACCCTATATCGCAACACCGAAAATATTGCGGATCCACATTTATATGGCTTTTTGTATTAAAATTAAGGTTTCTTCTTTATGATTAAGTTAAATACTTTATTAATACCCTATATAGTGCTTATTATCTACGTAAATACCCCATATTCTTATTCAAAAACAAACGTGGTATTTTAATTTAAGATTAATTAGCGCGAGTAACTAACGTTATATTATGCAAATATACTTTGGAATCAACGGCCGATACAAGCTTTTTATTATATACTATAGGTGTATGGGTGGTTCACGGTGACCGATTAGATAGGAGCATAAGTATTGCACCACTAAAACATTTTGAAGTTCGCAGTATTATATCGCTTCTATATGAACGTGATAACAATGTTTCTTAGTTTAATTGAGATTTCCGGTATGTTACTTTTCGATTCTGGGCGCAAAAATAAAGATGATTTTGTTCAGAAACAAACACTAATTTCTATAATTGTTAAGTAATTTAGAAATAAATTTGTCCCTTAGTTCCGTACTTAAATTTTATCTGATCATTGGTTAAAAACGATTTTGTAAATCTCTCGCGAATGCGCATGTTGAACGCCTTTTCATCATTTTCTCATAGTTGCTTCATAAGTTCCTGTATTATCGGCATAATCAGGGCCTCTATATCTCTAATAGCTATATGGTTGGGCCTAATGAAGCAAAAATGTATGTGAAGATCTCGGGAGAGATATAAATGGTTCTGATTTATATATTGTTTTGAAAAACAAAGCCAAATAAGTCAAACCAGAAAAATATAATATCGGTTTAACCTAAGCTAATAAGTTATACCTAATTTACTTTAACAAATGAAATAAGTTTATCATAGATTACTAACATCAAAATAGGTCAATGTATATTAAGACCTGTAAGGAATTTAAAAAAAAATCAAATTTCTTGGAACTTTTTTTAACGAAGAGAAAAAAGACGACAGTTTTGTAGTATTGGCAGAGCTTAAACGACATGAAAGTGTTATAAAAGAGATAATCTATATATTATGGTTTTTGTGTCAGAAAATTTCTACTACGCAAAATCTTAACACTTTGTGCCGGCAAACGAAAGTTCGGATATAGGGTGGCTCATTGAACCCTACATATATATTTAAAAGTTGCCCGTCACAAATTCAGTTTTACGCGTTTAGGTTTTTCCCGGCAAATATTCGAATTTAGTGACAACTCTTTGACTCTTGACCGAATTTTCTATTTTTTCCCATATAAATACTTCACTAATGTAAATAAATCCTATTATTTGCTTCAACAAAAAAGTGAATACTACATTTAATTTCAAAAAGGAAACAAATCCTTATTTGTTAATATCAGAACATTATATCAAAACAAATAAGACTTTTCGCCGACTTGAACTTGAACATTTAGAGTCTATATTTTTACTTTCAGGTCATTTACATAATAAAGAGCGAACGTGTAAATCGGACTGCTAATCTGTTTGGCCGAGAAATTTTCGTTTATTTTCTTATCTGAATTAATTAACATAGCGTCGAAATGGATTTAAATAGGTAAGAAGACTCGGCATTAGTTCCGTTTTGTCATTGCAACTTACCTAAAATACTTTTATTCCGAGGTACCAGAGCCCACACAACAAGAAACGAATTTAAATAATCCGGTTAATTGTAAACGCGCGACAGGTGCTATTGTTAATAAAATACTTTTGGGTATACGACATTCGCGATAACAATCTCCATTATCTGCCTGCAGTACTTTAGTTAATAGCGTCTATACAAGTTTCAAGGTGACGGTTGTTATTGGTCAACAAGCAAATCCGTATACCTTCGTTCAATTAAATTAATAATTGCAACTTAAAAAATTGGCTAAAAATGGCTAAAAAAGTCTGATCTTAAGGTCGTTTCACACGCACACACTTTCGTTTTAATTGGCACACGATATTCGCGAATTTCTATATATTAATTCGAACGAGATAAAAAGGTAATCGTGATATTTAGAGCTTTGCAAATACGACCGCCATTTTTTAAAAATTCAAACGAATCTCACTGAATGTTTTGCAGTTTTACGATGCGCGCGGCAAGTACACGCTAGAAAAATATATATCGTTTAAATCTCTGTTTTTTTTTCTTAATAGGATAAGTTTTGATATTTTGCGTTTTTATGTATTTTTTATTTAGATTTTATTTCGGTTGTTTCTCCCCAGTCACACATTGCGTGTTTATCAGATAGTGCGTAAACATTGCAAAGTTCAACACGAGTTCAATACGACGTGTGTTCAAAAAATTTAAATTAAGTTTTTCAGTTTGTTCAAAATTAAACAGTTTCGGAACAAATTTTGCCGCTACACGTTTCATGCCAAATACTTCAGAAAAAATTGCACGCCATTTGTTTCACTTCTTCAACGCTTTCATCAGTTATTGACGTGCTGGGGTGTCCAGAGCGAGGTGCGTCATCGGCGTCTTCTCGGCCATCTTGGAACAGCTTTTTTGCTCAAAGTAGATTCACCATATGCCGTTGTTAACATTTCAAGTGTTTTGGAGCACTGTATTTATTCCATTTTTTACACAAAATTTTATGCAAATTCTTTCTCCGAGCACAAGAAACATGTCTAACGCTTCTGTCTCACAAAAAAAAAGCAAACTTGCCAACTGGCTGAAACTGTTAGGGCCATGTGTACCAACATAACAAAAAAAAATATCGATAATCGGATGTACGTAGTCCGCCCAATTACAAAAGTCACCTTACTTTTTGAGCACACCTCGTATACTTTCAAGGTACATTATGGTAATGTAATTATTTTTGCAAAATATCTCCTACACGATCGATGGTAATTTTTAAAATAAATCTGCAATTCGTCATTGAAATTTGGTTTTTTAAAATTACCAATAGAGACGATGTACTTTGGACACTTAATTTATTCAAATAAATTATTAACGAAACAAAGTAAAAAAATATATAATATTTTAATATCCTTTTCAACAATTTACAAAATCACATTACAGTTTTAATCATCACCAATAATAATACGTAATTATCACTACTTTAAATATCGGCAAGTTCCTCGTCGGGGTCGTTTTGAGGAATGGGTTGGGATTCCTCATAAGGTTTTGGACCTATCCAGCTTAATATCACAGGAAAAAACACTACACCATGAAATAAACCAAATATAATGACTAGGAAGAATATCTGAAATGATTAAATTAAATTGGGGTTACTATACTCCAGTATTCTATACGTTTACCTTGAAAAATGTCTGAAAAGTGTATGCTTCAGATTGGCTCATCATAAATACTCCAATAAATGTTGAAAGACCCCCACATACCACCGCTAAGCCAATAGAACTCACGGTTTTCAGTGAACGTTCTTGTCTCGAACCCTCACGCATAGTTAAAAACGTGTGGCCAATATGAGTTGCGTAATCCACACATAATCCTATAGCTAATTCCAATCCGATGCATGAAACCTGATAAAAAAAATATTTCACTCATTAATGGATCATCATCTCACTTTCTTTGTGTTACCAGGTCAATTGTTAAACCCCATTTTTGCATGAAACCGCATACGTTTACCATTGTAATTAACACGCATATAAATATCCAGAAGCATGTCTGCCAATCGGCAATTAATAGTATAGTGCATGCCATCACGCAGATTAGAGCCAGTTCCAAATTTCTAGCTACTTCGATATCAATTAACTGAAATACACTTTGTATTTGAGAATGAGCACTATGCGAGAGTCGATCAATAAGTGCCCGTTTTTTACAAAAAGTCTTAAAATTTAAATTTTAAAATTTTTACTTTTTTGCGTTCTTAAAAGATTCAAAAAGTTTCAGACACAAGTCTAAAAGATCAAATTTTTCATACATGCGTGAAATTAAAGTTAATAAATAATAAAATTTTAAAAATACGGTAATATACCGACAAAAAAAAACTGTTATTTTTTATAGGACACAATGATTATTTTTTTTGACCATTACAAAAATTTGTCCACAATTATTTAGAAAAATAATGTTTGTGTCAAGGAAATCAATGAAAATTATGAGTGGATTGTAATTAATAATTTAAAATTAAACGAACGTGTACTTATTGAACGACCCCGTAAATTTATCTCTGCATACTTCATCGGTGATCCAGGTTGCAAAGAATTTGGACCATACGGTCGCAAACCTGTCGCCTGTCGTAAACTCTATATTTTCAGCGATGTCCCTGACTCTGTGCATTGCTTTAATTTGTTGCTCGGGTTCAGGAAATCTCTTGAATCTAAAATCTATAGTGGACATCTGAAATATGTTCGTCACATTACTTTCAATATTTCATTCGGCACTGGGTAACATATATGCCTTAATTTTTGGTGCCGGTGCCCCACATTCTAGGGCCGAATCAAACACAAAATTCGCTTGAAACTTTGCGTTTTTCGGGCTGTGCAGAAATTTCGACAGGAATATGTTAAATCGATCCTCGTCTAGAGTCTCCTCGTAAATATCTGAAAGGATGTACATCCCAGAAATGCTCCATTACTTTTAATGAAGCGAGTAGTAGAGATTTGTTGCTTTACCTTCCCCCGACTCCCGGGGGATGATATCAAAATGATTGGTTCCTAACGAGTCAAAGAAATTACAGGCCTCTAATCAAAAAGATCGAATTTAGTTTCGCCATTCACCAATAGATGGCAACACTGAATGGATTTTTTTTTGCGGTATGTATACGGGGTGTCGTCAAATTAAAGTGTTTCGAGTGTAGAAAATCAGTTTTACCCGGTGGACGGGGAATGGTCGAGTGAAAAATCTCCACTAATCAAGCCACCCTTACCGCATTTAAAATTAACCAGTATATAATTTCGGAAAGGTCTGAGCCAGGACACAACATCACTTGTAATATCGGTCATGTTTTCTAGTCTTTCAACGGCCGCCGTAATTTTAATAAACTCATTAGTGTAATTTATTGCTCCCATGTACATTCCAGCGGTAAATCCATTTTCTGGATAATAAGCTTCTGTTACTTTTATGAATTGCGCCAAGTGACTGTCGTCGGGCAAAAACCATTTAGGATCGAATCTTTGTTCTAACCTCAACGCGCTTTCTATACTAAATGCCGCACAAGATATTGCGATCAGAATTACTATGATCTGAAATTGTAAGCTTAATTGCATCATTGGTGATAAAATGTTACTCACTTTTCCGGGAGTAGTCAAAATTGCCTTCGAGTAAATACAATGAAAGACCCTACTTGTTATTTTTCTTTGACTACATTCAGTGGGTTTGAAATTTTTGTGAGTAATGCAGGGCACGATCCCATTTCTTTTCATTTGAATCCGTTTTTCGTCCAACACGAAGCAGGCAGTGAAAAACGTAACAGAAAATACAAAAATCGCAAATACTCCAAATGCAGCATATATACAAAATGATTGCAGACAGGGTAAAATCTAAAAATAAAAGGTAGAGTTAAAAAAATAATTTCAAAATTTGGTTTTTGAAAACTTTAAATTGAAAGGTAACTAATTGGTATGCGACTCAAATCTGTCTAAAGTCAAAATTAATTTATTAATTTTTATTTTTGACATCTTGAGCGGAAGCCTAGTTGGTTCAATTTTAGCTGAGAGGAAACAATAAGTTGTTTATAACATAACCTCTAGTACATTAGCAGTGACAAATGGGGTCGTACGGGGTCAGTAGTGGTCATACATATCAACGACCTTCCTGAAGCCCTTTTGAATGGTTTGCTGGCATTGTTTGCGGACGACAGTACTTTCTTATAAATAAAAAAAAATCTTACTGAAGCACTTGCTGAATCTAACTCTGAATTAATATGGGTTAAGAACTGGTTTACGAAAAATAGCTTAACCCTTAACGGAGGGAAAACAGTAAATAAAAAAGTAAATAATGGATAGAGTGCAAAATTCTTGGGAATTCACTTAGACCCTAAACTAAATTGGTGTCACCACACAGTGGCTAAAAAAATCTCAAAAAACATTTTTCTAATACATAGCCTAAAGGGCACTATAGATTGTAACATATTATTGACGGCATATCATACTCTAATTGGCTCCCACTTGCTTTATGGTCTGATAAACTATGGCCAGGCTCCCGGTGCAGCAATATTCTTTGGCTTACAGTATAGGGAATTAGAATAATCAGAAACCTCAAATACAGAGAGGACGTAGATCTAAATATTGGAGCTTAAAATCTCACACTGCCAAGCGCTTATATACTTAAGTGCCTAGTTACATGTGTTATTTCACTACTTATCTCCTAATATAATAAAAACTATTACAATAAGAAACTTACTGTTGAGGAACCAATAATAAAAGCAATTACATCGGTGAATGATGTAATAGTTATTGATACTCCCGCATGTTTTAGCATCAATCCCACCTTTTCCGGCAGTGATAAATGTTTTTCATCATCATGCAACTCATCCCAACAGGTCAGAATTACCAGCATGTCGTCGACACCTTCAAAACAACAACTATCAGACGCTATTTTTTCAGTGTGTAGTTAAGTTTGCTTACCGAGCCCCATTAACAAAAATGGTAAAGACAGATGCACAGGTCCATAGAACACTCCAAACATAGAACACAAACCAACCGATACAAGGTAACCCATCCCTATAGTAAGAAGTCCAAAAAAACCTAAAACAATCTGTTTTATTTTGTTGTTTTGCTCTTCCCAGTCGTCCTATTTCATACCCTAGCTTCGAGCCAATTAAATTTTGATATAACCAACTGGACATACACTACCATTACAAAGATGCCCAAACACAATTTATCAATGTCTTGGAATAGTGTTTGTTTGCTTATATCTCCAAAGCTGAAAGGACTTTATGTTATTTCGAATAGTTTGGTTAGTGTGGTGCAACTACTATATGGTCATAAATTAATAACGGCATTGATTATAAATTCATATTTACCCGGCGCACATCAATCACAGTAATCAATGAATTGCTCATCAAATTTTCAGGAAAAAAAAAATTGTGCAAGATATTTTTTTCACACTAGATAAGCAGTTTTTGAATCAAAAACAAGGCACACTGTTAAAAAGATATGACTAAAATACCTATTAACAATAGAAACATAAAAGAATGAAACAAATAATGGAATTAAATTATTGGATAGACATAGAGTACAGAGGTATATTTGTGAACCCACAACAAGCTGATAATGTTTTGAGTCACGTTATATATGCAAATGGTTACCTTCGTCCGGCATAATAATAAAAGTTCTGATCATGATTTGAAACATTCTGAACTACATTCAGAAATTCATTTTCCCATTCTCCTGCTTCTTCTGAAGCCTTAAAGTAAAACACAAACATGTTATTTATGTAATTCGCTATACAAAATGGAACTCATACCCACTCTCCCGTACCAGCCATATTGCCGGCTTTATTCATATCAATAGCAGAGAAGTTGACATTAAGCAACCAGTAGTTTTGAATCGCAGTGGCTTTAACAATATGACCAGATTCGTTTTTCGTAATACCGCCTAATAAATTCTCATAGTTTTTTAAATTGCCAAAAATATTTCTAAAAACATACTATACTGCCGTATCTGCTGGGCTTTGAAGCTCAATGATTTGTTCACCTTTCATCGTTTGAATTTATTGCATTTAATATGTCATCTTTGGTAAGCCGATTAATTTTTGTTACGTTGAAATCCCATAATTCTAATATAGTTTTTGTATAACACTCGGTCTTCATCATTTCTATAAAACTACAGTAGAATGCAGCGTTCATTTCTGTACTCGGATCCATTTCTTGCTCACCTGCCGTCATAAATTGAAGCATAGCTTTGTTTGGTTTAGGAATTCTAAAAACAAACTATGCAAACTGCGGCAAACATTAAATTCAGACAAGAACTTACTTGAAACAAACATCGTTTAATGTTATGTTGCCCTGCGTTTTTATATCTTCAATCAGGCTGTGTATTTGCAACAACTGTAATAAATTATTACGGTACATTTTTTTTAAATGTGCCTGGAATTACCTGTTTCACTATTTTAGGAGTAAGTACATCGTCAGAAACTAACATGATCGCCTCGTCTGTAAAGCCTCTTTGAAATGTTTTTAACAGCCATTCCGAATCTCTTATGAACGTCGTGTGAGGTGGTACCCACAATTTTAAGGGATTTTTTTCTTGTCTAAATCCAAAAAATCCAAAAACGCTTAAAAATACCAATACCCAACAAAGAATTATTGTTAAGCCTGGTTTGCGGGCAATCGTGATTCCTAATCTAAAATGAGAAATTTTGCTTTCTAACGGCGTAAAGCAAGTACGTCAGATTCCACAAGATTGGTCAATATTTTTCATTTTCATCTTCCAGAACTATTATATATTTATAATGACATATATCGGAATGACGGTATTTATTTATTTTTTTAATAAAAGTGTCCCGAATAATTTTTATTTTTTATGAAACTAACCGCGCGTTCATGTTCACAGCTCACTTAGATTTTGCTATAAAAGGTAAAATAAAAAAATGGACTACTTTCGTATTTAAATTTAGCAACTTTTTTGCTATTTACGCTAGGTTGAATATTTTTTTATGTGCAATTTTTGTGCGGTATTTGATAACAAAAAACAAACAATTCGCGGCAAACAGCAAATTCGTCAATTTTTTTACTATGTTAATATTTACCGCCAAAGTGAACGTAAGAATTTGGTTCCGCGTGTAATACAATCGCAGTTTTTCCAAAAAAGGGCAAGAAATCCGGTTTTTCAAAACACCGATACAGAAAGTAAAAAATCAATACCGAATATTGAAATAAAATAGGTATTTTATAAATTAGAGATGTCTTTCACAGTACCTACTTTTCATAAGAAAAACTACGCATACATAAAATAGAATTCACTAAAGATATACAAACAGTATATTAATTATGAATTTATATACAGCGCATTTTTTTATTTAAATTTAAGGTCATAGAAAAATATATATCTATCGTCTCGTACAATACGGCGCCTGAAAGCGATAAGAGATATCAGGCCTTTATATTTTAGCTCTTAAGGGCCCCACTCCTCCATTTCTTCTTTTTAAAGAGCATCAAAAACCATTCATTGTAAAGTCTTAAGCGCTACTAAAATGCAAATTCAGAGCCTCATATCCTCTGCAATTTTTGAGATTTTTTAATTTATAATCTGACCACGTCGGACTATTATAAATCATACAAAATTTGATCAAACAAAAGTGCAAGGAATCATTTTTACTTAAACTTAGTATTAGTATTAGTATAGTATGTATCTCAAGTACCTAAGTAGATAGGTGCATCGGGTGTCCAAATTTACGATATAATTTTGGAGGATATTCTTAAAATAAAGAAAAATAGGGTTATCTGCAATATAAGAAATTTTTTGAGGAAATAACAGATTAGCGAAATCAAAAATTTGACTTTTTGTTAGCAGTCCTAATTTGTTGTAATTTTGGTATGACTCAATCAATTCTACTAAATTTGTTTTGTGATTTTCGAAAATATTTTACTTATTTAGAAAAATAATATTTTATGACGAAGAATGATTTGCACGCAACTGAGAAGAATTCACGAGAATGCAATTAATTAATTCTGACTCAAACCGAAAACCTTTTATCATTATAAAACTGAACAACACACAACACATATATTAGGATAATGCGACCTATCATAGTGTTTGCTTAAGTTTAATAACTGATATCCATTTTCGCGAAAACTTACTTGTAGAAAAATAATTCAGTGTTAATAACAATCAGATACTTAAATCTCGAAAGTATTTTGAAATTTATATAATCACTAGCACCCATTTTGCGTGTTCCAAGCGAATATTACATAGTTATAGTACACTATTATTTCACTATTTCACTATCTGAAAACGAAATAATCTAATTCAACCATTTTAAATGATTTTTAAAAAATGTAAGCAACCGATAAAACATTGATCATTTACATAACCTCACGGTTTTGAATATATATCTGTCTTTGTTCAACGAAATTGCCCGATAAAAAATTCTTTGTTGCAATTTATTTTGTAATTAAATCAAAACAAGGTCAACGAGTTATTAAATAAGAGCGGAGGAGTACGGTTTTAATTATCGTAAGCTACTAGTTATTTAAGTTGTCAACATTGGTTCATTGCCAATTATGGCTTAATTAAACCCTACAATACCGCCAACATATTCTCAGAATTAGACGGTTCCCACCGAAGACCGTTTGCTTGTTTGCTTCCAAATTTTTACAGGTTCTCACACATGAACTTCGGACTTTCGATGCCAAACATCAGATTATACCGTAATTCTTAAAAATCGTTCATAAATACATCGATATGGTTACTCAAATTCCTAAAGTTTGGTTTTTAATCATCTATATTCCCTTATACATTTGGACAACGGTGGAAAAAGTATAATGATCTTTCTTTCAACAGAAATCAAACATGATTTATTCTTTCCTTCTGTCAATTTTTGGCGTTGCTACCAAGCCAGTTGGCCAGCACAACACTTATCATTTGAGAAAGTGGGACAAACATTCATGGCCACCTGTAGGATTTGAACCCGCAACCTCCCAGCAGTGTGTCTACTACCTAGCCTCGCGTCTTAACCGCTACACCACCCAGGTCCCTAACAATATTTTTTATTAACTAGAAATTCTCATGCCTCACCGGAAAAATACCAATGAAAGCGGATAAAAAATAGTGGACAATTATCCCGCCTATTAGTGCACTCATGTGGTGCAGGATAAGCGCTATAATTTATAAGAATATAATAAATATAACACCGCACTTGAAAGTGAATTATTTGCACGAATGAAGGTCAACACCCTTTGAAGCTTTCATGATAAATTAAATTACACGCGACTCCAATGGTCCATCCATGGTATAAATTTGTTTTTAAGTCATTGAAAATTACGTTTTATAGAACTCCAAATTTAGCATACCCATTAAGACCGATTCTCTAAATATTTTCTTGGGAGCATTAAAGCATATGTAAAAAAAAGTTTACCGTTTTAGCGCATATTTCATTAATTGTGTATTCGGCATATATTTGGAGAAATTTAAAATCAAAACAAAGACATTTTCTATATCTTATTTATATTACACAAATATATAAACAGAACAAAAATATTTTACAAAAATTTACAGCAAACAGAAACACCAAATATACTTCACCTGAATCAGGTGATTTCAAACGGTAGCTTTCCAAAAAAGGCTTATTCTCATTGCAGTACCGCTGCAGACGTCTTACAATCCTTAATGCAACTTTAATAAAAAAATATATTACAACGCCACTTGAAATCCCTCATCATCTACATACTATATGCTAATTGGTTTTACAAAAATACAATTAAGCATAAATAAAATCTTTACATTTCTTTGAGGAGTCCTTAAAGAACATTTAAACTTTTATATTTTAATTACGTTAAGAATAAATTTGTTCAAATTGTTAGCGGGAGGGAGACAGTGACAATTACGGCGATTTCAATAAACGCATAAGTTATATTTGGATCGACGTTATTGCGAAAACTTACTTATAGGTCTATTAAAAAATTATCTAAAAAGGTTATCAGCTTATGTTCAATTTACCTAATATGGCGTAAATTACTGGCATTACACTTCTAATTTCTTTATTCCTACTAGTTTTGTCCCTGAGTTTAAAAATTTCCTACAACGTTTACTTAGTCATTTTAATTTTTGTTTTGACAAGCAATAAATATTTACAGCTCCAGTTTCAGATTCCAGTAAAAGTTTATAATCATTCAACTGTTGGGGTTGGACCATTTTGAACATGTCTACCACTAAAGGCAAAAATTATATATCCAGTGAAATACAAGACGGAAAAAAGTACATACTAATCACCAAAAATATCATCTGTCCATATGAGAAATGTGATAATAATACGCACATTTTGTAAGCCCCGTCCCTTGCCACAAATTCGCTTTCATTCCCTTAAAAGCACCGTGCGTCTTTGTCACACTTCGTCCCTATGGACTGAAAACATTTTACTATATAATTATAGTTATACAATGAATTGAATTTAATATAATTTTTTAATTCTGAAAGACTACGTGGCTTCCTCAACACAACCTTTTTCACTAATACTAAAAAGTCAAGAAGGATTTACTACAAAAAATATTAACATATATGACTAGATACAACGGCAGTACATTATATTAAGGAGGTACAACATTATAATGGAGTTAGTTTTCGGGGACACACATCAACCATAAGTATGACATGGATTTTTTTGAAAAATATAAAGTAAAAGGTAAAAAGTTGTTTCTACTGACGCGACCGTTTCATTTTTTAAAGCAATCTAGGAATAATGATTTCCTAATTTTGTTTTTAATTTTTTAATCGGATCCATATATCCTAAAGAAAAAAAAAGTAAGGGAAGTATTTGAAATGCAATGTGAACAAACTCATGTAGGCACTATTGCTAACTTCTTTAGTGTTGTAGCTAGGAGGTCCGTCAAATTAATGAAGTTTCCGCAATAATAAGAGTTATTTTGAAAAAGAATTGCCATATCAATAAAATATCACAGGCAATTTTTTAGTGTTCAAACTCCGAACGCATATAGCAAAGTATTTTGAAAATTCATAAAGTACAGAATTTATTTAATTCTATAACTAACACAAAATTTACATAAAGTTGATCTAGCAGTAATTATTAGCTAAGAACACAAATTAACCTATGGCAGTGATAAATAGAGAAAAAACTTGCTGTGTTAACACATTTCATCTTTTTCTGAGTTAGCTATTTACAAAGCCCTTGGACTGGTGCAGAAGCAAATCCAGTAAAAATCATAACTAAAATTCCTAAACTTTACAAAGGAAAATCTTACATTTCAGGGATACATCATCAAAGGACTCAAACTACCATTTTGGCAACCAATGGGTACAGTTCATCAAATATATAGAAATTCACCACTTACACTATTGTATGATTTCCAATAACACAACACTTTAATGCGAAAACTTTTTATGCGCAAAACTATACCGTGATTTGTTGATATATAAGTCCTAATAGGAAACTTCAGCTTGGTTTTGAATTATTATGATGATGCATTTCTGAGTCTCTTTCCCTATCTCTTCTGATCACCATCTGCAAGAAGCAAGTTTTGACAGATTCGTGTTATGAATATCCTAACAATTTTCAGACTCAAATGAACAGGAAAATTCAGGCACGTATGTAATTTTGAAATTATAAGTTATACTGCCACTTGCAAATTAATGTTACTTAAAAGCCATGCTAAAAATCTGCTTGTCAAAATAAATTTGTGCAAAGTTTTATAGATAATTTTAGTACACATGCCAGTGTATTGCAAAATCTATTGGGCAATTACTATTTCCTAAAATCATGCAAAACAATATTATAATTAGGAATAGAAATATCTTATTCATGTTTTTTTGTCATGTTCTTGGAAAATTTTAAGTTTTTTAATACCGTCCCGAATTTTAAAACAGAAAACCATAAAAGTTAACGAAGAAGAATTTTTTGTATTTGACATAAAACACAGAAAAACAGTTTCCATTGACCAACCAAAGCGAAATTTAAAAAAGAACGTTTTTAATTAATTAATTTATAAAAATAAAACACACAGATCTCGCTTTTTTTTCTAACACACGACTTTCCAGATTGCTAAAAACCCTACAATGCTCAAATAGAAAATATATATTAAATATATGTTAGAAACGGTAGAAGCTAGTGAGACGGTTAAATTAGCAAAAAGTTGCAAATCAAAATAGGCAGGCAGATTTAAAAAAATTGCAATAAAATTATTTTCGGTTTTATTTAAAATCAAATTTTTAATTGACTTTCACATAATATTGAAATGTTGATAATTAGATACCAAATTAAAAGTTACTAGTGCAAAAAACTTATTCGTCAACCAAGTGCTTACTACTTACGATTTTTAATTACAAAAGTTAATTAATCTCACATTAAAGTTTGGTATTATTATTTGCTACCCTTAGTTTAATAATTTATTGATCTGTTGCTAAGCAAAAGAAGCAAATTTGAGTTTATTTATCGCCGCATTAAAGATGTTCCTAGTCAAATCTTTTGAATTACCCCATGAAAAATAAATAATAGGAATGATCTACTGACATGAATGTAATATTGACACTAAAATATTTACATATTAATTGCCGTCAAGGAATTACATCTCAAAAACCAAAACGCATAACAATAATTATATTAAACTCCTACAATGCAACCAGATCACAAAAAAAAATAGTTCTGGTTGTACAGGGTTAAGAAATAATCCTTTCTACTGAAATAAAAATATTCCCGCAAGTGATTATCTAGCCTCTAACTGAATGGTAGCTTGAATGTCTAGAGACTTTTTAGTTAGTGTTGCCAAGTAAGACCGTGAAAAAATACTTTTTAAATTTTTTATATTTAAAAAATCAGTAACATTAAGCCATAGGCGACTGGACATTTTATTAATAAAATGCCAAAAACACTGCATTATGGTGCTTAATTGTTTACCTGTCACAAAATGAACAAAAACAAACACACTTAACTGTTCTCAAAATGTTATAAAAAAAAACAATGCATTTGACCTTCATTATAAGAAACAAGATTTTAATTGCTTATAATAAATAGCAATGTCAAAGTCAAAGGATATGTAGGGTCTTATTTGGTTATAACGTTTTCTTATTAGCTTCACTTTTAGCGGGCTGAAATTGAAACCATTAGCCAGTCTAGAAGTTTATGTTTTAGACAATCAATATTCTGGTATATTAATCACTCCTCAGTCATAGAAAAAAAAAGTATTTTTTTCTCTCTGGTCATATTAATAAAAATTCTATCAACTTATTACATTTTTTTATTAAAACAATTAAACCGACTCCCAAGTTCATAAATTTCGACAATCACTGTACAATCAGAACCACTGCGATTTAATGAAATGAAAGAACAGCGAGTTCAGCCCCCACCAATCAACTACAATCGCATATGCTTAAATTCAAACCTGTTGCTGCGAAGAAGAAGAACCGGGTCTATCAAAAAGAGGATAAGGCTGGGAGCGTGGCGGGGCAGAGCGTCCGCCCGTGTCCGCATTTTGCCTTATCAGACCATTATTTGGGAATGATCCAGTCGACGAGTGTCTACAAATGCATTTAGTAATTAACATGATTAACAGTTAAACATGGGACTAAACCTATAAATTCACTTTTCTCTACGCCGAAAATGCTAAAAACATTTTATTAATTTATATTTCCTTATACTCAAAAACACCCTCATATTGTTTCCAGATATTTCAACATTTTGTTAGGTATAAAACTGCGCAACATTTTTCTAATTTAAACCGGCCCCATAGCTTTTGCAATGTTTTCTTGACAAACACCGTATTTAATAAACAAATAAAATATTTTGATTTGTTAGAATAAGATTTTAGCACCTTATTGTGGGACTGGGTTGTCCACTGTTAACGGGACTCCTGTGTGGGTTTTGAGGGTATGTATCGGGAGGCAAACCATTTTCTACGGGCGCGTGCTGAGAACTCTGCGAATGCCTGTCATAGTTCCCGCTATTATGACGGGGAGGTCGCGAAATGTCCACATGATTTACCGCAATGTTGGGATGAATGTTGTTAACTGAAAAAGAAAGTGTCAAGTAATCCTACATCATTTTTCGGGCTCAATTTGAAATGTAATAACCTGTGTGGGGATGAGAAGGTTGAGGGGTTGCTGGTTGACCTGTTAAAGGTATGGCCAATCTTGCATTAACAGCCAAAAGGTGATCCCTCCTCTGCAGTAAAGAACTGACGTGCTCTTCTAGCCTGAGATTTTCAGCTCTCAGCTGATGTAAACACGACAAAAGTGACGCGACTAGAATCAGTAAAAAATGGGTTTTTATAAGGACAAACAAAAAGGATGTAGTACAAAAATATTTGGCATAGTATTGTGCTTTAACGATTTTCAGGAAAATTTAATTTAAAGGTCTACTTCTGATTAAATCTTACTGTCAAAATGCTGAGCCTGCTCCATGAGGAACTGAGATCCTTGTTCCCACTGGCGTTCCAGGAGCTGATCCAACGTCTGAGGTATGGTGCCACTGTTACCGCCCAACATCGACGACAGTCCGCTACCTCCAGAAGCAGTACTTGAGCCTGTACTGCTTGCTCTAACCTAATTAATATTTCACAATGGCTGGTTATAATCAGATGCAAGGCAAAAGGCAAGAAAACTTACTAACTGAACTACTCTGTGATGCATTTGAGGACCAACCAATAAGGGACTTGTATCATTTGAGTTGTTATATACACTGTGAGCTTCTAATTCGGAATTAAGATGATCTGTCATTTTTTGATGCATGTTAGAATTGGGATTCAACTGATTACCCAACATATGAGGCGCTGCTGCAATCCCATTTTGAAATCTAAAATTCAAAAATACAATTATTAAACAACAAAAAATAAATATAAATATAAATATAAAATATATCATTTTAATAAATCAATTTTGCACTTATTTCCAAGTAACTATTATATCCAAAGCAGATTTCTAGGTATTTAATAAATGACTGGTTAGATCTCTTGTAAGACATAGTAATACATTTAATTTTGTAACCTCTTTAAAACTTGTTAAGGGCATACAATTTTGTTCAATAAAATATTTTTCTTACAACTTGACATCCTTGTTTTCCTTTAGCGGCACAGAATTGGAATTGGTATTGACAGCGGCTGGCGCACTTTTACGACCCTTTGTTCTGCCTCGGTGGCTCGTCGACTGTGAGCCTAAACTCTCGGAACTCGGGCTGCTTGGAGGAGAATCTTTAATTTGCGATTGGGAAATGGCGGCGAAAGCGCCGGGCGGCTGCTGTGAAGGCGGTGGAGTTGAATGTTGCGAACGACTAGACCGCTTGAGGGCACCGCCATTGTTCGATTGGGGCGGGGGAACACCGTTCGCGCTGTTTCGTTTCTTGTTTCGTGTGGTACGGTCACTTTTTTCATGCGACTGTGACCTACTAATGAAAGTCGTCTAGTTATGCAAAGGCTGTGACAAACGGCGAAAAAAATCTGTGTTTCTCAGAGAAAATATTTTTGAAAATGGTTGAAAACTCTTGATATTTCATGTTTTCAACGCTTATCATTGGGATTTTGAAAACCGTAATGGAGTCAAAGCTGGGCAATTTGATGCTCAATAAAATGTCGCTTTGCGTAATGAAAAATTCCGAATACTTCCGTGGCCATTTCAAATCATCTTAACAAATAAAGCCGGGAGACAATAGAAAGCAAAATTGAAAATTCCCTTTTTTTACAATATTTTTGGAAGTAATTGGAATTTTTCAAAATGCTAAACGGCATTTTATTGAGCATCAAATGGAACTTTGTCTCCATTTATCCAAACAAGTATTTTTTACAGTTCCCAAAAATCTCAATGATGAGCGTCGAATTTGAGCCACTCTGTACAGTATAATCTCCTATAATGTCGACCCCCATTAACTTTTTTTTAACTGTCCCAAAAAAATATATTTTAGTTTAAGCTGTGTAGGGTTTAATGTGCTATTTTAAGCTAATTTACTTATTTATATGCAAGATTTGACAAAAAAGACATATTATGTTGATTTCAAAAAATTATAAAACCTTATAGTTACTGTTTATGTTAAGCACAGAATATGTCTGGAATATTGTTGATGTTCAAAAGTCAACCGAAGAATAATGGTAAAAATTCGAAATAATATCATTACATAAAAAAAATTATAAAAATGAAAATCGGACCAGGCATGAATATATGGAAATAACAATATGGCGCCTCATCTCATGATGTTGTTTCAGTGAAAGAATATCTAAGTAATACATATCCAAAATGGTTTGGGTGATATGGCACCATATTATGAATAGTCTATAGCCCAGATCTCACTCTTTCACATACTTTTTTTTATACAGAAGGGTCCAAAACAATGTATCCATTGTTTGAAAGTCCATAACTTGAAAACTAATTGATAAAGTTGTCCCATTTTTGGTGAAAGTGTAGCTTAAAGTCAAACTTAATGATATCACTGTATATGTTTGAACTGGTAGCCATCAATATCTACACACAAAGACGCCGCCGAACTGCAGCATGAACTACTGCAATGTGTTCAGTTGGAAATTTGCATATGAATGTACAATGGATTCTTGAAGTTCATCCATCCTTAACTCCTTTAGACTTTTAACCGTGGGGAACACAAAACCACACACATTGGATGAACCCCTCTGTATAATATATATAAAATATATTAAAAAGAAAGTGTATGTCACTAGAGCTGACATTAAAAAAATAATTACGAGTGAAATAATATTAATTATTTGCCTGCTGACTGGGTAATTAAAGCTTGAATAAGTTAAAAAGAGGGTGTCAACTGTATATTCAGGAAAATGGAGGATATTTTCAACATCTTGCGCACTATTCCTCATTAATAAATATTCGCGGCTCTATTTGGATTTTTATCATTCTTTTATATACAATGATAATGTTTTGTCAATGCCTTCTTTTTAGCTTATCTAATGCACTAAAATCATTTATTTCACTCCTAATTAGTTCTTTATTGTCATCTATATGCTAGCCAAAATAAATTTTATTTTTTAAATAACCTTAGAAAAAAGTATGCCTTAATGTTAACAATTACTATAACATTTTTTATATTTTTAAAATCAAGCTAATACGACTTTTCATTTTATGGAATAGTATACAGTGTTTCCAATTAAAATATATATAATATGCATTAAACCCTACGATTTTTGTACTGAACGTTTTTTCTCAAATGTAAAATAAAAAAGTTAGAGGGTAATATTTATAATGTATGATCCTTGACAGAAAAAACCAAAGTATTTTTTGTCAATGGATTATCTTATACATGAATTTATTTTTCGATTTGTCATAAAACTCAAAGTAAAATTCATATAAGCCCTATACCCATTTGTGCATTATTGATAATGGATATATTTCAATATTAAATAATTATCACAAAAAAAAGGTCACGCAACAACCATAGACCACCACAACATCAAAATTTATTGGTACCTTCCACGCTTTGCGGGAGTTTCTGCTTCGGCTGGCGCTGGATCGAGTTCCAACTCCATATCGACTTCCATATTAATGGAATCAGTTTGTTTTTCATAAGTTATCTTCAATCCACCTCCGCTCATCTCAGAGGTGAGAATCCCCTGTTCATTTTTTTCTCCAGTTAACATAATGGAATCTAATGAATTACATTGTTGTATTATTCATTGCCAGCTATATAAGAACAAAGGAAAAATTACCGTTTTCAATTATAGGCATTGGACTTTTGGGTATGTTTCCAAGTAAGCTCTTTTCCTTTTCCTGCGAGTGTGGTTGAAATGGAGTTACAGCCAACACACTAGTTTGATTATTAATTATTGGATTATGGGGACCGATACTAGTATTAGCCAAAGGTACTGACACAAGTAGAGAACCAATCTGCTGCTGTTGTACTTGTGCCTGTAAGGTAAAAAATTTGCTAGTTCTCTGTATTTAAATCTAGTTTGTCAATTTAATTGGTGTAATTTGTTTTTATTATCTCGCAGAGCAACCAGGAACAGTTTGCTTTGTACTTTTTTAGTGTAATGTTCATAATAGCAATGAATGAGATAAAGAAAATAAAGGAATTTTTTTTGTACATTCAGCGATTTCAGGCTATGTCATATCTTTTTCTTATTTTTCAACTTACATACCAGATATTTACAGGTTGTTCAGCCAGCCCCTTTTTTGAGTAGAATGACTTTAACAAATTTTGAATAACTTTTGTTTTTTGGTTATGCTTTTTCGAAAGCTTCAAGTTAATTCAAATATTCATTATATAATACATATACATTATTTTTCTTAGCTTTATAACATGGCAACAATGTTTACCTGAGCAGTTTGGATTATTGATGGTGAAGTAACAGTTGTTGAAGTATCTGACTTATTGGTAATCAATTCTGCAGTGGTAACAGTAGGTGAACTGCCTTTAGATGTTGAAGTTGATGTTAGAGTTGATATTGATGTTAAGGCCACAACTGGTTGATTGAAGATTATTGATTGAGTTGTCTCAACCTTCGACTATCATCCAAATCGAGTTAGAACAATTATTGACATTAAAGCAAGTATTGCATACCTTTTTAGATTTTTCAGCAGGAATGTCAGGAACAAAAAGAGTAGTGCTTCTTTTTTCTATAGGCACCGAAGAAACACTTGTGGTAGAACTGGTGGGTGGGGTATTCGTAGTAGTAACACTCACAACTACACTCACTTCACTTTGCACTGGTGTGGGCGTCCTGGAATTCACTTTTCGTTTTTTTGAACTCTTATTATCCTTATCTTTAGGTTCTTTGTTTTTTTGGTCACTATCTGCAGTGTCACTTTTAATGTCTTTTTTGTCACTATTTTCTAAGAAAGTTTCTGTGTTAGAACTGTCCTCACTCTTAACACTTTTTATATTTCCCACTTTAGATTTGTCTGAGGACCTAAGCAATATATTTTAAATTGATTTGTTTAAAAATTAATTATTTTGATAAACTTTAGCACTCACCCTTTGCTGTTGCTCTGAACAGGTTTCTGTTGAGATCCAGATGTTTTGTTAGATGAATTTCCACCTTTTGAGGAATTACCTTTATTGTTGGAGGCGGATTTCCTCTTCCCAAGAGCAGGAGAAGAATTTCTTTTCAAAGAGTTGCCCTCTACCTCTTTTTCAGAGCTGGAGTCGGAATTCTGATTGTCACTTACAGGTTTATATGGTGGAATAGTTTTCACATTACCACCTTTTTTCTAAAACAAATTGCTTCCTTCACACCATTGTCTGACTAAATTGTGACTAACAGAAATCCTTAATTTGTCCTAAAATAGTTGCTTCATTCACTTGAGAAAAAAGCAGTTCCGTTCTGCTGTTTACATAATATCCACACTGCGTGTGTGAATGAGTAAATTAGGGAGATATCATCATTAACTGAATTGAACTGAATAAAGCAGCGTCCAGTTTTTATTTAAAAACAACAGGGTAAAAGCAAACCAAAAATAAATACTTACCAATTTACTATAATGGTGTTGACAATATCCACAGTACTTGACATTATCCAAATAATTCCCAGCCTCTTCACACAACAATCCTAAACTCTGCGCACAAGTGACGTGAAATTGTTGCTTGCAACCCACTCTATTACATTGCATACAAGCGCCCACTGTGGCATTAGCTGGTCTATCTTTTTCTTGACAAATATAACACACCTAGAATATATTTTTACAAACAATCTACTAAAAAAAAATACTGACTTTATTAAAACGCTCCCCAGGGATCAGCTGCAACTGGATTGGTTCCATAGTGGTGACATTACCAAAACGTACTTCTGGAATATACAGAGCACATACCACATGGGCCCATCCTTGATTATCAGTGCGTTTAAGCGCTCCATATCTACTTGGACACAATTCACATTTCTGTTAAAGGAAATAAATTAAGTTTAAAAAAATAAGGGTTATTTTAATTCAGAGTGCAAGGTTGGTAAATAATTGGTTAAACAACTCACCACTTTAACAGACCTCTCTTGACTTTCGCATTTACGACAATACCAGGGCCCAGTCGGCACAGTAACTATTCCATAACATGCTGTAAAGAATAAAATAAAACTAAAACAGCAACTTTTGGCTCCAACACATAAACTTTTTATCAGTGCTCATTCACGTCATTAATTTGTTCTATACCCACATGGAAAAACATAATTAAAATTGATTATTAGAGTAACGTGTTTTACCTATTTATAAGCTATGAATTACTAAATGCTTTTGTTTTAATAAAATAACTTTGGCAAATAAAACAAATAGCAATTATGGTTAAGTACCTTGGTGAACAGCAACACTACAAGATTGTCCATCGCAGTAAACAAGGGGATTTTCAGACCAGCCTCTATCGTCAGAACAAACACAACAGCCTCCTACCATTTCCCTCATAATGTAATTAAGACAATTTTGCTAAACTAGCGATTGGACATTCTCACCCCACATCTCCAATGTGACAGATTCACATTCATTGCTAGGATTTTGTTGGCCCCCTTGGTCTCAAAAAATTCTGGAAATTTTGTTGCATCATTACCACAAAACTTACACCCGATCTCGTAGCTACGTTGACATATTAGTCGCCGTTGCAACTTATATACAATGAGTTATTTTAAAGTAGAAATCTAAAATAAGAAATCACAAATTTCATTGAAAACGTGCCCAAAACTTGTGGAACATAAAAATATTATCTGATAATTGTTACTAAACCATAACATGCAAAAAATAGTAATTACTTTATTCAACATTGCAACACAACTAATAAACTTTTTAACACACTTTCCTGCAAAAGTGCATAGTAAACACATTTGTCTACATAGTAACCATTTTGTTTTTGTGATTGCTTGTTTGCTCGTGCGCAAAAATAACCTCTTCAACGTTTAAAATGGGACAGTTAGGCAGATCACTCCACTTATCTTTTTCTATGGATAGAATTTCAAAAAGGCCCGTGTACAACAATCACAGAACGGAAAAATACTATTTGTGCTCATCTGGGTTCGATTAATAAGATCATCACAGAGCGATTGGCTCTAAAAAGAAGCTATTATTAGGATGTGTTTATCATAAGTGTTAACTGTCAGATATACTAATTCGTGGTCAATTTATTAAAATTTTGGGTTTCGAGGAAGACAACTGGTTCTTATTATAGCTCGCAGTGATTCAATTCAATTCAATGATGCGTTTCACAGATAGCTGTTGGGCACGACTACCAGGATCATTCGCCCAAGCTCGCAGTGATCTGAGTATGACGTATTATAACAAATAGATTTCAATAAAATTATGCTAGGATCAATCGCCCATTGCCGAATTGCCTAAATAAGCAAAACTCAGCTTAGCATTTTATAGTTGCTTATATGAGCAAGCATTGCGCGTGATTGGTATACCCCAGCCCACTTTCAATGAAAAGTGTTTTGAGGTGTCAAAGTAATGGTATCGGTTTAAAGTTGAATTCGTAGCATTACTTTTAAAAAAAGGTCAGTGATGGGAAAGTGATCATAAAAAGGTCAGTGATGGGGGAGTGATCCTAACATAAATGACTAACTACTTTTTTGTATTCTGACAAATGATTCTATGTGTGACCAAGAAGAAGTGGATTTAACACTTTTTAGTCCCTAAAACAGCTGTTATTGTGAGAATGTCATTTTCTTATTTTACAAAGAAAATCAATGAAATGATTAAAACATGATACGCACGTAGATTTCACATAAAAAAAGTAAAGTCCTTTTGCACTTTGAATATATTACTAATCAAGGTATTCTTTTTACTTTGGTTATTTATGAGAATTGGTTTAAAATTCTAATCTTAATGGTTCAAAATAATAACAAAAACATTTTCGCAGTAGTGTTTTATCATTAAAGCAAAGGATGTTTTAGCATGGAAACAGCAAACTCAAAGACGTTAGATTTTAACTTTAAAGGTACTGAAGATTCAAAAAAAGATACTCATATCATGACCTCCAGTACCATTTCAACGGCTTCCAGCCTTATTTCTCCTGGTGATTCTGGGGTTCAACTCTTCGATAGTGAAAGTGAATTGACTTCGACTATGTCAGGCTGGGAAAATGATATCACTCGACCAGATGCCTGTTCAGAAATTATTTGCAATGATGCACATAAAAACAATGATGGCGATCATGAAGTCAAGCTGAAAAATCCTGTAGAAAAGATAAAGGCAAATGAAAAACCAGACCACAAACAAAGTCAAAAATTAGAAACACCGAAGAGTGATATTGCAAATCAAAATGTATGTTCAACTTTATTGTCTTGCTCAGTTCCCAATTATTTTGACAAATTCTTTAATGACGGTAAGGTTTATGTGAAATTTTAGCAGTGTTCATTAAGGTATTTCATATTTTAGATATTAACTCACTTCAGTGCACTGGGATGGAAGCATCATTAAAAAGTCCAAGTGATGATGTTTTTGAAATGGAGCATCCAATTAAATTAAATACTGATGTAGATCTAATGAATATTTCACTCAATAGTTACGAGCTTCTGGACTATACATTGCAAAATACAATTTTAAAACCAGACACTGAAAATATTGATATGCATGTGAGCATCTCAGAGGAAGTTAATGAAAATCTGAAAACCGTCAATACAGAAAATGAAAATGTTCCCGCACCTGTAAAAGAGGAATTCCCTGTTGAAGCTGTAAAACCTACTGAGGAACAAATTGTATTTCGTCGCCAAAGAAGGAAAAAATCTAAATCAGATACCCCAAAAAAACGTGTATCTTTTCATGAAGACATACTCAATAGTACTAAAGTTGATGATATTCATATAAACTTGGGTTTCATTACTCATGAGCCAGATGTCTCGTACACTTTCTTCCAAAAAGGGTTTACCCGAAAACCTGATGTTGTGAAAGGACGGTAAATTAAGTTTATTTGTGAGCTGTTTAGTTTACTTAATACATTTTGCTTATAGTTATAGCTGGGCAGCAGAAGGGGATGCTCCGTATTATGAGAAATCTGCAACCAACAGAGAAGTCAAATCTGACATATATGTGCATAATCCTCGATACTCTTCTACATCATCTAGCTCTACAGGGAGTGTATCAAGCTCAATCGATGAAGAAGATACAACTTCAGATGAAAATCTTCCTAAAAGGGAGCCATCTGTGAAAATGCCTAAGTCTAGTTGTTTAAAAAAGTCAAAGCGAAACAAGAAATATATTGATACAAAAATTGTTCAAGAGGAAACGGATTTAAGAAAAAGGAAATCGGAAACAAATATGCTTGAGAGCAACATATTTGGTAGTTTGAAAAATATTTTAAATTTTTCAACATCGGTACCATTGGCTGAACGTGGTGTTCCAGAAGGTCAGGAAGATGTTTGTATTTATTCTTCATCTCATGATGTTTTTAGTTCAACAAAACCTTTAACTAGCTTTTCATTCAAAGGCAATCAAACTAAAGATGTTAAAGAAGTGGTGGAGGATACAGAAATAAAAATTCCACCCACAAGTCAGGTCAGTCTAGCTAAAACTAATCTGAAGCTCACGCAAAGCGAAGGTTTTTACCCAAATTATCCTAATCAAGATTTGCCTGCTAACATTATTCTCTGTGATAGCAATGTTTATGAGCACAAAGGTATTAGTTATTCTTATGAGTATGACAATTTTCAAAAGACATTTGAACAGCAAAATAAGCCCAAGAGTTCTCTGGTATATCAGATGATATTAAAAGAGTTTAACTTCTTTCGCCGAAAAGCCAAAGAAGAACCAGAAAAGGAAGCTGAAGATTTTGAGGTGATAAATCATGCTTCGACACCTAAAGGTTGTGATACTATGGTGGAAGAAGTAATAGAACAAGCAGAAGAAAAAATACCAAACACACCTAAGAACCCTATGGGAAAGTATACATCATCAGCAAAGCTAGACTGGTCAGACACCGAGACAATTTCTGATTTATCCGAAGTACGTAGTAATTCCAGACATTTAGAATCGCCCAAACGCAGAATAAATAAACATAATCATTATGCAGTTGCATCCTCTAGCAAAAATTCTTTTTTATATGAACAGAAAAGTGATGCTGAGAGCTCCAAATCTTTGCCAACAATGAGAACTTGCACATCAAAATCATCTTTAATAAACAGGTTTCTTAGAAATGTTACCCAGAAAAAATTGTTGGATATAAAAGCTATGAGGAATCAGAGAAGATCGAGGAGTTATATTAGCTTGTATGTGAGTGGTTGTAAAGTTGATAAAAAGTGCAATGAGGAAATTGATAAAGAAATTGAAAAGGAAATAACCCGCGGTAAAGAAAAGCAACTACATTCGGACATTTCTAATAGAAAGATGATGATGGAGCTAAGGAAACAAGTTTTTCGGAAAAAAACGGAAAATCTTGTAAAGGTGTAGACGTCAAAGTTTTCACAATTTATTCTCTTTTTCATATGAAATTTATGTTTTTAGATTTTTCCAGTTAGAAGCGCCTACACTACAAACGGAGAGAGCAAACCATTACTTGTAATACTGACAGACATCACAATATACATCTGTAGTGCTAAGCAGAACAATTTTTCGAATCATTTTGTGTTGCCTTACGCAGAACTGAATATAATCCTAATTGGTCCCAATAATCAAACTATCCATTTCTCTAACTATGACACTGATATGCAATGCTTGATCAGCACTGGTTGTTCGAGTATTACCAATGATATCGTTTCTCTCTTGGAAATAACTATGAGAAAAGATACCGGCAAGCCCAGGTTACCAGCTGTAAAGCAGTTGACTATGAGAGATATGGCCTGTTTAAGAAATATCATATGTAAACAGACTTCTGTTGAAAAGGTAAATAAGATGTTCCACTTATGTGGGAGCGAGTATTGGTGAACCTGATTAAGATTGGGGTTGGCACATTTACCTCTCGCTTAATAAAGTATTTTATGAAATATGATGCATTTTTTTACATATTTTAAGTCTTTGGGATCATTGTAGGATGAAGAATATTACTATTACAGTATTGTAAACATTCAAGACTTTTCACTGGAAGATATGATATCTACACCATTGGGCCCTGCCAAGGAAGGACCCCTAATGTTTAAAACAACTGATTCAAATCGTTGGGAAACCGCATATTTTATTCTGAAGTAATTTATTGTGCATCAGGTATCTTTGACATTATGTCGAAATGGATTTTTCTCTTTTAGAGCTGGAGTGCTTTACATGTTCTCATCAGCATCGCAGAGGGTTCCAATGCGAGTATTTCCTTTAATCAATGGATCCTGTCAGGGTGCCCATAGAATTTTTAATGCTCACCGGCCCCATACTTTTCAGCTGATTGTTGAAGGCAAATCACTTTTGTTAGCAGCACCTGACGAATATGTCGCTAGTGAATGGCTTCAGGAACTGATTCACGCGGCAAGTGGGGTAATTTTTTTTCCTATTCATTCCTGTATTGTTTACTGTTCTTTTTTTTTTTCAATTTTGCAGATTTATCACAAAGATAAAAGCTTAACCCTGTCTTGCTCGTTAATGATGACAAGTGAACATATTTTGACCGTGAGGGAGGCTTTTCCTCATACCATAACCACTGGCCTGTCCAAAAAATTCCATGAGCCCCTGAAAGGTCCACAAGCACTTTCATGTGCCGCCATTGTGGATTTGATTTCGTTTCGTTTACCATCAGCAGAACAGAGTTGGTGCATTTTGGTGAGTTTCATTTCAACGTTATTGCTAATCTATCTAAGGCGTGTTTATTTGGTAGGAATTTTCGTGTCGGGAAGTCCATGAGTATAGTGGTGATTGGATTCTTTACTTTTCTTCTAATGCCGAACTCGAATCCTTTATTTCAACATTAGAAATGCTTTGGCAGTATAATAATGAAAACGTAAGTTTACTGATGTTTGCATTGGTTAGTTCTTTAAAAAAAAAACTGGTTTTTAGGATGAAAGTTTTCCACTAAGCACCATCCCTGAAACTGATCCTCTAAGTAAGAGATGTGTAGACACTTACACTACCCTCATTGAAAGGTGGCCAACTAATACTGTGCACCTTCAATTTTTATAAGGTGTTTGCTTGTTTTTATTGTAAGGTTTATGAGCCCAGGGTTATTTGATCTACAGTGCATTAACATTACCGATTTTATGAATAGTTTGTGTTTTGGGGAAAAACCATCACTGTATTTGAATTGCCCTGGTCTGGTTCTGATTGATCCTTTGATATAAAAAAAATAATGAGGTATGTTAACCATATTTATATGCTAGTTGTATTAATGGCGCCCACTAATTACCAGTGCTTATTATAGTTTATTCTAATACAACTTACTCATGTAAATCTGTTTATTTTAGCAAAAAAAATATGACTGCTCATCTGCTCATTATGATGATAGAATTCATTGAGGGAGCTTATTCAGAAGATAAAAATAAGTGAAAAGTTCATATTTCAGGGATATAGGGTGTTGAAATATTGCAAAAAAATGTTTTTTTCCCTATTTTTAAAAAATGTTGTTTAACCAGTCTCACTCCTCAGGTCGTTTTACTTGATTTAAATAATAAAAAAGTGGTACGCTAATGCTTTAAAAATGGCCTTTTCACTTTTGGAGAAAAAAAAAAGTGTGTTCATGTGCATCTAATTGGTGTAGCACATTTTTTATTATTTAAATTACCGTTTCACGAACGCCACTGGTTAAACAAAAACAGTTTTATGCTAAAAATTTGTTTTTAAATGGCAACACCAAGTTTGAAATCAAAATCTAGATTTTTTAAAAATAGCAAAAAAAATTTTTTTCGCACCTTGTATCTGCGCATTTTAGGATGTAAGTGTATGTGAACTTTTTTTACTTATTTTTATCTGTTGAATAGGCTGTTAAGTTTTTATATTATAATTCGGACCACGTATATTTTCTTATGTATTTATATATTATAAATTTTAAGGTTCTTCGTAATGTGCAATTTATTTTTTCATAGTTGTTGACTATTTAGTTTTTATCTTATTAAGGGAGCAGCTGAGCTTGTAAAAAGTTTTACTGAGGTTAATTAAATAAATAACTTTTGTGATCCATGTTATTGAAGGAGTATTACATTCTGTAGTGAACTAAATATTTATTATAATGTGGTTAATTCATTTATAAAACGAATTTTCTACAAGGATAATGATGTATTCACAATAACACAAAAGTTGCAATATGTGTTTTTCCTTTATTTCCTAAGCCAATTACAAGCATAATAAGATAGATAAGCCAAATTTGCCCGGGGTTTGTATTTGATCAACGTATTAATTTAGGTGATTGAGTTTAAATATTATGACCATTTTCTCTATTTTTAGATAATTTATATTGGGTTTACAAAATCGGAACTTTATAGATAAGACATATTTTTCTAATTTTCGTTCGGAAGTATCTAGTCATTATTTTGATAATCAGATGTTGTGATATATTTGGTATTTTTTAAGGAGGTGCAAATATCAGTAAGGATAATAAGACACAATAATTTTAGTAATACGCTTCGGGTTGTCCTTGATGCACATGTAGACAATGCACGTTAGTTTCTAATAATTAAGGTATGTTATTTTGGATTTTCTCTTTTGGACTGTTTACCTTCATAGCCGAAATATTGCGCGAATTGATAATGGTTCTGTAAATGCTTTCCAAAAGTGACTTTTCAATTAACTGGCAACTTAATTTTAAAAATATTCATAATGGGACTATAGCTTATGCCCCATTGTAGCGGTATTAAATGTCGAGTGATATTAAACATATACAGTGTATATAATAATGTATAATCAATTTATATTTGAAGACATACTTATTTAGCAAAGTTGTTATTGGGTTAGTAAAGCAAATACTAATAGGTGAAATTTTATTCAGTTATACCAAATTCAACATCAATTTCTTACTATTGTGGATAAGGTGGTAAGATGTATAATCTTTGGACAGTCATAATAAAAAAAACCTTTAATGTGTTTCTACTTATGCAACTAATTAAATTGTTGGTGTCAACAAAACACTCTTTTCTGCAACTCAACCTTTGTGTCATCTGACTGGCAAAAAGTATTTTCTTAAACCTATTTTCTTTTTATTTTTCGCTCATTAGTATTTTCAAGTTATTATAAGAACGTTAAATAAATCGGTTGCTTTTAATTTAAAAAGCTTTAGCTAAATCATGTTGGTTTTTGACTTGAATTGTTATTTTATTGGAGTTCTGTTTGGGTGCACTTTGTGTGATATTAATACAATTCTATTAAAAATTACATTGCATTGCATTACTTTACATTGTGGCACTTTAATAAACAATTTTGGATTTTTTAGGAAGAGCGTGCAATTGTATTTTTCTATGTTTGACCAAAGCATTGAGTTTTATAATACCCAGTGCCATTTGTAAAATCAGTAATTAATTATATAATTATAATTATTTGCTTTGCGAAGAGTCTTACTTATATCAATTGATTTTTACTTCATGTTCAATATTATCCTACAATTATTAAAAGACAGGAAGCACAATTCTATGAATGAGGGAAGATTCATTATAAATGTTACCCTCTCAAGAATTTTTGTTTTACATTTTAGAGAAAAAAAAGTTAATTAATACAAAAGTTTGTAGGGTTTTATGTGTAGATCTAATATTACATACTTATTATATAAAAGGTGCGACAAGAAAGCATAGTATGTCAGAGATATATTTTTTGATTTTGAATGCCTGTGTATTATTTCACAAAAAGAAAAGCCCATTTACATTGAATTCAAATTCATAATATTAAGGTCGAAATTAGCCAAAAATAAAATCCACTTAGTTGGCCATGCATCATCGTGTCACGCCAACGTCACGCCTTTTGTTGAATTATTATTGACAACAAATTCATTGATAATACAAATATATAAACAATGGTTTTTTTGATTAGGGATATTGCATTAAATGTTAAAAGTGCCCTCCAGTGTCTTGAATATACAGCTGAAGCCCTCTTTTTAACTTATCTAAATTTTCCAGTGAGGAAATCTAGGCCTCAAACCCTAGGACTTTTTCATTTTGCTTTTTTTTCTAAAATGTAAAATAAAGTTATAGGGAGGTAAAATTTATTATTTTCATCCCTGTACCTCTACTTCATTTAAGCATGTAACAGTGAATGCATGTATATCAGCATATGCCAAAAATTGCTGAGGACTGTAAATGACATTGCAAGTTCTTCCTTAATATTTATTATCTGTTTGGTCATTTAATTGAAATAAGAACTACTTTATTTTTTAAGTTATTTGGCAATTGTGTTTAAAATTGTTAGTTGTAAAACTAATGTGTTATCAAATAAATTTAAAAAGTATTGCTTTGTGCTTTATTAATTTGCAGCAATGAATAATTTAGTAGGTAATATTGTGTTAGAATTCGTTGAAGAAAAATAACAGAGTGGAGAAAATAATTTTTATTAGGAATTTAACTAGCCAATTTATGTAGGTACATAATCGCCACGATATTTACGGCTCTTTTTGGCTTTATCAATATCAACATTAGGATATTGTTCCTTGAGGGCCTGCATATCCATATTAGGAAAACGATTCATCAACCCAATAACATGATTAAAATCTCTCCTAAAATAAACATTCTCTTGACAAAAACAGAACTGTTAAATTTTGGAAAACTACTTGCCTCTGTTGTCTTCTTTTGTTGAGATAAAGCTTTTCTCGATATTTTAACAGGAACCTTGATACATCCTGGTCAGGTTTGTAAAACTGATGTTTTTCACTCCACTTTTTGTTCATGAATTTTGGTATTAGATGTTCTACCATTCTGAAAAGAATAATTCTTACAAAGTTAACAAAGCAATTTCTGTACACTTTGTATAGACATCATTGAATTCAACTCTGCTTAAACAGTAATAAATCTTAGACATAGTGTTATGAAAAGGTTTAATCACCCAGAAAAAAAAATACATTTCTGACGGCCCTTTACAAATCTGTCCCATCACTTACTTGTAATAATATTTTAACCCAAAAGGACCAGTGGTCAATTTACCAGGTCTTTCCCCACTTTGACCAGTTTCAAGCATGTGATAAGCTCTGTTTCTCTCTCGGACTACTGCCTCAAGATTTTCCATCGATTCTTCAACTTTATCAATGCGTTCAGGGCTTGGGAATAGTCTGACTTGGTCATTAGACTCTTGTTCCATTGTTAGTAACATATTTTTTTCTTTTAATAAAACATACCTAAAAACTAATTCACAATTACTTTATTATATAGGTAAATACAAGCTGACCATAGCTTATGCAAGTCAGTGTTGGATTTAAGCCTTAGTTCCTCTTTTCGCCAAGATCTACCACTCTTGACTTCAGTTTGCCCCCAGTTTTTTTTATCATCGAAAAATTCCATAAGATCGTTTTTAATTGAAGAAGTGCAGATACATCTAAAACATTTAAGACATTTGTAAACATTTGTAAATAATATATTGTAAATTTATAACCTCAAATTTGCTGATTTATTTCGAACTATATTGAAACTGTTTAGCGACACAAAAACTTTGGAAAATTTAAAAATTGACTCCATTAGAAGTTGAAAAGATAAATTTAACAGTAGATGCAATTGTGGTTTAACCCAATTCTAATAATATATTAAAACAGATTTTTCACTTCTCTGCGGTTGGACTGTTAAGGAAAATTCCTTTGTAAACTGTCACTTGTTAATATGTGAACCATATGCCCACATTGCCATGCAATAAGAACTTCTACAGATATATCATTAGTTAAAATTTCTGTGTTTAGCTATTAGATAATTTAGTGACCGTACTACGTTAAAAAATTATGAGCCCTAGGCGGCGTTGATATTTTCGTAGATTTTCTTCACAGGATTTCTACACACTCAAATCGTTTTCCTAGAATATTTAACGAGATCTAGGCGTATTTTAAGATAATACGGCTATATGGAACTTACCTTCTCAATTTTTTTACATGTCTCTTGATTAATTGTAACATTATTTGTTTCAGTTTTAAATTTTGATCTTCTTAAACACTCATACAGTACTAGAATAAAAGTGCACATTAATTAGAATTAATAGGACTATTCATGATTCTTCTGTTTGTACTAAAACTTATAAAGCAACAATGAAATAAGTTTTAAGAAAGTGCATGCAGATGGGTGAGATTTAAAATCTTATTTTTAACCAACAAACTTGCAGTATTTCACAACCAACATGGCCATCGCCAATAAATCATTTTTAGGGCATTATTTTCTCAAAATACGTCCAGATTCCATTAAATCTTCAGGCGAAAAGCAGGTAAGTGTGTTGATATCAAGTTTTCGAGAGAAAATTGCGCAAAGTAGAGTATAGTGGGAGAATTGAAGATGCATGCGCGGATGATAATCATTCCCTTTTCCACGAAAATCATTATATCACTATATTATCTCATAGCTACATAAATCAGAGGCTAATAAATGTCATACATTATTTTCTATGGGGCTGACTGCAAACAGTCTCAAATTTTCCCCACACTGAACGTGGTTTCACGTTGCGTTGCGTCGAGTTGCTTTTATTTTGGAGGAACATCAATAGTATAATATGCAACAATTGCGGTAAGCTGCATTTGAGTCACGAGTTTATTTGACACGAGCGGAGCGAGTTTTTAATTAACGAGTGAGTCAAAAAGTTTACCGAACGTGTGGCATACTATACTTTTTCTACGACCGTTAGTTTTTGGATACATTTTCGCAAAACACCATCAGAATTAACAAACATCAAAAGTCAAAGGAAATATCTGCGAAAACATCCGATTGCTCCCAAATCCGTGCGGTAAAATCCCGGAAATGTCCGAAGGGACTCGGATTCGTGGGAAACGTAACTTACGTGGTAAAGTGACGCTTCCCGCACGCTAGACCGGTGTGTAATCAGGTATTTTACAGACGGGAGTGGAAATAGTATATTATGCAATAAGTGCCGTAAACGGCATTTGACTCACAAGTTTATTTGACAAGAGCGAAGCGAATGTTTAATCAACGAGTGAGTTAAAAAGTTTACCGAACGTGTTGCGTACCATACATTTTCTACCGTTAGTTTTTTGGTATATTTTCGCAAAACTGCACAAATACACTCACTTAAATGACGGTCAGAATTGACAAACGTCAAAATTCAAGGCGTGGGAAATATCTCGGAAAACATACGATTGTTCCCAAACCTGTGCGGTAAAATCCCGGAGATGTCCGAAGTGCCTCGGATCCGTGGGAAACGAAACTGACGTGGTAAAGTGGCGGTTCCCGCAAGCTAGATCGATGTGTAATTAGGTATTTTACAGACGGGAGTAGCAAAAAGCAATTTTGTCTACTCCCTTCTGTAAAATACCTAATTATACACCGATCTGGCGCGCGGAGTAGCAAAAAGCATTTTCTTCTGCCTCCTTCTGTAAAACATCCAATTATACATCGATCTGGCGTTCGGAAAGCATCACTTTACCACGTGAATTTCTTGTCCCACGAATCCGAGCCACTTCGGACAGTTTTGGGAAATTATCGCACGGGTTTCGGAACAATCGGATGTTTTCGGAAATTTTACTACACGTCTTGAATTTTAATATTTGTTAATTTCGACGGTCACGTCAGTGAATATATATGCTTGTTGTTTTGCAAGGATGTACCTAAAAACTTCAAGTCATTCTTTTATTAAACACCCGCTCCGCTCGTGCCAAGTAAACTCGTGACTCAAATGCCGTTTATCGCACTTATTGCATAATATACTATTATTTCTGAACGTGGTTTTTCAGATTTCTGTGTGCGAATTTTTTTTTACTGTTTTTAGGGGCACATTTTTGCACCATTATTTAGTTTACTTATCGAAACCGGCGTAGCTATAAAAAAATACTAAAATTGCAGCGTCATTACGCAAGAAGTAAGTGCCAAAAGATATCACTGTTTAAAAATTTTATTTACCATTTTTGCATGTAAATAAATTTCACATTCCAGCGCTACAGGCGCTACACTTTCGAAATATAATAGAATATAGGTTGTCAAAACAATAACAAAATTGATTAATATATATTTACAAATATTCCTAACCTTTAATTAATTTTATAATAAAATTTGGTCAAACAGTTATAGGTATAAAATTTAAATACTAAACAAAATTAAATTGCACCTACATAATATGTACAAACTAATGCAAAGTCGTGTTGGACGTTACCTTACACAAATTATCACAGAAAAACCATCAACAATGGTATGTGTACAGACTTTATGTTGAACTTATCTTTAGCAAATGGTTATTATACTTTTTTAAAAGGAATGATTTTGTAAGATAATCTTTATGTTGCATGGCCCAAATTAGAGCCTCATCATTGGACACTCAAAAACCATAAAACTTACAAGTTCCTTTAAAAGCAGGGCATGAACCGTCATGTTGCACATATTTTCTGCTCTACCTAATGTTGTGAATCCGACCTTTCAATGTTCTTTAACTTTTTGAGAAGTTTAATAATACAATAGGGGGGTATTTATAAAAAGAGGTTAATGATTTAACCGACCTTACATCTAATTATTATGATTTCAAAGATTCCAACGGGAAGGCTTAATCTTGAGACATCGTGTACCTATGGTATTAGTGAAAAACTTTACCTAGTGAACATTCCACAATAGAAAAAACTTTAAAATAATTTGTGTATATTTTCTAGCTATATCTGTAAAAGTGTAAAACAAACTATTTAGAAAATGAGAATTTGTGCCCGAACTCTTGACACATTAGGTAATCAGACTGTTGGTGAAACTCCAACCGCCATTATTGCTTATCACATTGTTACATATGTATAGTAGCAGCCGTGTATCTTGCTTCACCTCGTCGCCACCTCCATTGACTAGGACGGTACTAGAAGTTATAGATATTCAATGATAATTACAATATCAACAAAAATGCAGGGCTCGTACTCTAATCAGCATTTGCCCGCTGAATGTATGAGGGTTTCTATACGCGTAAACTGTCCACGTCGCAAGCCCCAACATCATCAGAACCACGAACAATATCGTGATCACTCCTGAAGTACCTAAATGACTAGCAGGATTGGCCACGCCCATTTTACGATTTTCCACACTCGAATCATACGCGGCGGTAGTAATAGGCGGTTCATATGGTTCATTTGTTCGGACACACATGGACCCATGTCTGGCACTTGTTTTGTTGCAACCATTATCGAGCCAATCCTGTCTGTTGCGGTCATAGCCCGTTGAACACTGTTGTAGTTTCGGACACCATGTACACTAAAAATCACGAATTTTTGGAAAGCAGCCCGAAATTGAGATAAAAATAACAACTTGATGAGTTTCCGCTATTTCGTTGGTGAGGCAAGTGGAGCAGTCACGAAAACCTAGGCACGTGGGTAACGCCCTCAGGTATATTGCAGTCCAATTTTTGATATCTTCTTTTTTGAACGCGACCCTGTGGTATTCATAAATTGTTTTCCGTCTGATCACTAAAAAAAATTTTTTAAGTCATAGAGGGCGCCTCATTAACAGCGGCAATTCCTTACTGACGATATTAGACTTGAAATAATGACGGTTGACTTAGATATGTCTCACGCACAGATTTAAATGGTTTAAAGTTAAATTAACAGTTATTTTTGGTAATAACAATAAAAACGACGTGGCTGGCCCCTTTTAGAGTAATGCTATAGTTTTAGAACGGTCATTAAACGATATGTAGTTAGCCATGCATATACAGGGTTCCCTGAAGTAATACTACAAATGAAAGTATAAATAAACAAAAACTAAAGTCCTTATTGGTGTATCCATTAATAAAACATTTTTTATTTAAAAAACATCGCGAAAAACACCAAGAGACTCTTTTTAAGCAGAATTAATTTGGCTTTCAAAAAGTGATTATCCAAAAAAAAATACTGGGCAGTTTTTTCGGTAAACATATGAACTTGCCGTCACGAACGTCACTGATGTATAAGTATTTGTACATGTAAACGTAACGTTTAGTGGAACATAGGTGCATGCCAAAACTTATTTCAACGCTTTTTCGGTGAATTTCAAATAAACTGCCAAAAATGGGAAAGTTTATACGCCCGTTTAAACTTTTCTTCATATTTTTAAATGGAGAATGTGGTTTGAATATTAATAGGAGGACCTGTTCCAAACTTAAACATACTGTATTTGAAATTATAAACAAAAATCTACAAAAAATTGAAGCAATATTGTGACATTTAGCAAAATACATCGAACCTGACTTAGTGTTGGTATAGTTTTTGTTTTAATCAAAACTTAAGAATAGTGATATATTTAGGTCAATCGTAATTGCATTGTTCAACCGATTCTGACATTTAATTTAATTAGTTCCCTTACGATATATTGTTTCATCCATTATGTACGCATCCGATAAGCCAATTTTGACGGGATGATTTGAATCCTTGATTTGTTCAATTAATAATGGCACATTTTTGTAGACGAATACAATATCACCGCTATCAAACAGCGTCACCTGAAAAGTAAATTCTTCGTCGGAGGGTGTATCCTGGAGTACTACTCTTTGCCACTCAACTGTAAAGGCAGTGCCTAGAAATGATAAAATGATCTGTTTCCACGAGGTCTGTAGTCTGTAGTATCATATTAAAAAAAAGACGCCAGCCCCAGAACGAATTAACCTAGAAACTTTACTAGATGAAAATTGAGATCCTAACAACATAAAGATATTTTTCTCTCTCTCCCTCTCTCTCTAAACTGAACTACTGAGAAAACCAGTAAACAAAAATCTGGCCATTCTCTGCCAAAGTAAGTTATTTGACAAAGTTTCGGTGTTAAAAGCCTAATTTTATCTATTACTGCGGCGATTTGCATTGAACCGGATATTAAATCGAACGCTACTTTTTTTTCGCACTTCACTTGGGAAAAACAGGTATTAAGGAAAACACCTAGATTTCCCAAATCCAAAAATTTGAAAAATATCCCATTTTTACAGCCAGACTATCAGCAGTTTACTTACCTAGTAATTACATTAACATTAACCTATTTTAAAGTAATTAATGACTCCTAACATCCGGTATTTATTCAAAAAATAACAAAAAAAATCTTCTCTAAGAGAGATGCGTAAGGGATTTTACTAAAACATGACTTGGAAGGAAAGTAAAGTCTCATAAACAGCAGCTTTTCCAATAAGAAGAATAAATAAAAAATATCAACCAATTTTGCAGACCTTAACAGTATTTTTACAAACGATTCACTTTAGTTACTTTAACAGAGTTATTATCGTTCGTTAACCTGTAATTCAATACCATTTTTAATAATTAAGTTTAATAATTAAGCTAGTAAAAACTGAACTTTTACGCTATATTAAAAAATAATTCTACATACCATTATCGCAGTACCGGACAAGACTGTTGTTCGATAGGCTTGTATCAAAATTTGCCATCAGCGGCGCTATGTATTGGGTAGCTGCGAGCCAATAATGGACGAAATTTCCTGTATAAAGAAACCCTCCGGTGGCTATAGTAATATTTTTAATCAAGTGACCGTAAAAAGGAAACTCGAAGGAAAGTTTGATCGTCTAGAATCGAATTACATAATATTCCTGTCAGCGAATAAAATACTTTACTACTTACTGCAGCTCTTCGGTGAGAATTTGAAAGCAGATCGCTCACTTTTACGTTGCTGCAATTATTTAAATCCACCCAATAAGTCTGTCCGATTTTTGGTTGAACATAAATTGTGCTATTATAAAATAAATGGTTATCCATTTTGGTGGATGTTATATTGTGACCGGCCAGTATCTTGTTTATGTCATCTTCGTCTAAATCACCTAGCAGCGTAGCATCGAAGCTTCCAACTACATTACCGTGTAAAATGTCCGGTGATAAATTTGTATCCGACTTTAACGGGACGTGTGGTGGTTGGGAAACGTCTTTTCTTTGACCCGAACCGTTCACTCCAAGATTTTTCGCAAACTTCTCGCTTTCTGTGATATTTATCGCCTCTGATGGCGGTGTCTCGGTAGGTTGTTTCTAAATCATTTTTTATATCAAACTTATAAAGATTCGTATATAAAAAACACTTACTTTAAATACTATTGGTGTCGTTGTATTGCCTGCTAAAGAAGTGGTATTTTCATGAGGAAGATTTTCTACTTCAGTGTCTCTTTTTTGATTGGAATGTCTTTTGTCGTCCAACAGTTCGAGTGCCAGAGAATATTCTGACCTTCGGTGTGTAGGTTCCGTCAAATATAAAGATTCTGTAACAACGATAAATTAATTACTATTATAGTTTTCTTTTAAACCGGTAGCTGTATAATCAGATGTAAATATCCATGTAAATGTAGAAGCACAATTAATTTAAACGAATAAATAAAACCTTTACCACCCATAACTAACACTAAACAATAAATTGTGCTTATATTATACAAAATGTATATCAGTGCTATTACCCGATATACTTCACATTATATATATATTTGAAAATAAGTACCTTCTTTCTTTAGAAATGATTATTCTGAAACAACTATTAATTAAAATGTCGGCGCGCACTACTTGTTATTGAACCCTTCTTTATTTAAATAGTAGTAAAAAATCTGAACTAAATCATTTTTAAAACTTATGAATTTTAAATCGTTGTCTATCTATGCAAAAAATCCGAACTAAATCATTTTCAAAACTTTCGAATTTTGAATTCGTCACATTCGAAGGCAAGCTATCTATTAAAAACATTAAAATACCAATGATTAATTGAAATTGAGATTGACTGAGAATAATATGATGAGCTTTTCTATTCTTGCCTTGTCTTTAAGAAGCTCAAAATTCAATATTTAAAAAATTATTTATTTAATATTAAAAACAGCAAGGGTAATCTAAAATTAATATTACTTAAATAATTAATCATTGGCCTTTATGGGAGAAATATAAAAAATAATAATAAAAAATGAACATATTGGGATAACTTGGTGGCATAAAAAGTTTTTACCATTTATGGTAATTATATGTGTTAATTTTGATTGTATTATAAACGGTTGCGTGAAGTCGTTTAAAAATAATCTGTCCGAGCAGCATTGTTCCGTTGCTCCATAATATATTATGTAAATTTTGGAGGAGTATCCTCTTCCGTTTATAGTACATTATACTAAAATTTTTATCGTTATGCACAATTTGTATGTACGTACACCTACAACGAGTGAATTACCGGCTAAAAATAACGACTGCGCATAAAATGAAACGCTCCGAACTTTACAGGAAGTATCTTTCATACGAATACCATGATTTTTGCTAATATGAGAATTACCACATTAATACTTAAAGTTAAATTAAATTTGTAATGGTAAAAGACGAGTTGCCAGGTTTGTGGTAATGATATCAGATTATTTGAAACATAGCGCCACAAAAAAACGTATAGTTATTTTACATATTTCTTGAAATACGACAAGGGGGCCAAACAGAAGTCAAAATTACCAAAAAATGATGGCGTGTACACATCTTGATAAACACATGGATGATTTTGACGTGTTGAATGAATAAATGGAAGAAAAATAATTTGCTAGACAAAGTTTTACATAATTTTGTAGGCAATTTAAAAATGCTTGTGTATTTTTTACTTTTTTGATTAGTTAAATTATATTACCAGTTAAACCCGATTTTATACAAAACTATCTTGTTCTAGACCAAACATAGATATTAGGTTTTTGGTTAATTTTTACTTCTTTTTTTGGGTTTTCTATAACGCGACAGGCTTATACGGCAATAACTTTGATTAAATATCGCCAAAAAATAATTTCATGCCGAAATTAAAATTCAAGATATACGTAAACAATGAATTTAAAAAAGTTTTTACAAACAAAAAAGTTACATATTTTTTTTAGAGAATGTCACTCCAAAACAGAAAAAATACTTCACTAGCGACTTCAAGTGTGACCACTAACATTATATGAACTATGAATATTTACTAATAGTTTATTGTTGACTTTTAATTTTGAATAATTCATTTTGCCAATTTGTGGTTTAAATTCATTATGCGCGTCATGTTTTTTGACATTTTGAAATAATGAGCAAATCACTATAAACTATTATAATTTTTTTCAATGTCAAAGAAAGATGCCAATTTCAATCTAATAACTAATAACACCGACGACATAGAACCAGTTTGCAAATGTTTCGGATAATTTTTCTAAAAAATTCTTGTCCCCAACTGATGTTTATTTTTGCTCTCCTGATCGTTTTCATATATATTTCGACACTATATTAGGTAAGTATATTAACATTTAGTGTTGAACCGCTTGTTGCTATTCCTATCGTACAATAATCAAAATATAATTGAAGCAATCGCCATTAATTTGCTGAGTGCAATTTCTAAACATTCTTTTAGCAACATGATTCCATTTCTATTTTATTTAAAAATTTTATATTATGCGGTGCCATCGAAATAGTTAAGCATATCCGATCCACAATTTATTTTTATGGTTTCCTGCGAATCAATTGAATTGAATTTTTAATTTTCCCTCTTGACAGTCGCCGAATATTGGCTCCACAGCGTTGAAGGTTATTTACACTGCCTGTTGCATACCATTAAACGTAAATTTATTTTGTTTGTTGTCATCGCGCACCGGATGCGTCTATCTGTTTAAAATAAATTTGGTTTTTTTTCAGAGCTACACGGGGGTTAACTGGTAAATGCTATCAGGCTTATTTACAGGGAATGATATTTTAGTGCCAACATTTCGTAAACAAACATCCTTGCACTAGAGTTTACTTGTTGTCGAGTTACAAAATAACGTTACCAAAAAAGATTAGAATTATTTACAATTATACGTCGATGTCGACAAACTATAATGTAGTCTTTGTTCATCGTCTGACTTGGTCTTCATCCGTTATCTAATTTATCCTTTTTTTTAAGTTTCTTTATGTCTCTGAACCACTCGTTGATAAATAAAACTAAGAAAACACGAAAGTGTGTGAAAGTTTTAACTCATTAGTTTTATATATCATATAATCATTTAAAAATATAAAAGAAAAAAAATAATTGTTAGAATGAAAGATCAATCGTTTGAAATAAAAAAGGAAAAGTTTAAAAACAAACAAATTAAGAAACTATGATAAAAAATCTAAGATTAAATTATAAGATAAAATTAAGTTTTATTTATAGTTTATTTATGGTATGTCAGTTGAAATTTTATTTTATTTATTCGGTTGGTCACAGGTATAGTTTGGTTTAGTTTAGACTATAATTGTGTCACATTACTGCGTTAATTTCTTTCTTGACTGAGCACCATTTGTTTAACCGGGATTTTAATAATTCCAATGAATTTGAATGTTTTATTTCAACTAATAGCTCGCTATGGATGTTTGGTATAAGGTAAAGAAAGAATCTTTGTTCAAATGAAGTGTTGTTGTGGTATGATTGTCTTTTATAGCTGGTGACATGTCCTTTTTTTATATTTCCCTATTGCCGTACTTTGCACAAAAAGTTCACGAAAATTTTACTCTCGTCGAATAACATATTGGTTGGGCCGATTATTTTTATCGTAGATTACTTTTAGTATCCATTTTTGTGTGACTAACTTTTTAAGACCAGCATCCCGCACCTCACACTATTATTCGACATGCCAAATGCGGTTGAACAAGGGCAAAATACAATTATATTTGTTGTGTAATAAAATGTAAATTTGCAATGAAATGGATCGTTAAACAGGGTGGACAACTAATATCGTAAAGATAAGATCAATTGCAATAACAGTTGTTAAAAATTCCCTATTGTAGTTTTTTAGAACCTACACACCTCGAATCGTTCTTCAAGTTAGAGTCGCATCAATTTGCATACAACAGACGAGTTTGGTGAATGAAAATAATGTGACGGCGACGTTTATTAGAATAATAAATATAATATTAATTATGCATTTCTAATTATAGAGATGGCCAGATAATTGAGATATTAATTACACTAAGATCCAGTAAATAAAAACTCATACAAGTAAGAATAATATGAAAGATAAATTGTAATAAATATTGTTATTTTAAAAATGCCTGTTATTTCCAAGGCAGCTTCATTTATAAATTTTGGTTAGTTTTGTTAGCAGTCCAAAAAAATAATTCTTTTCCCACGTTAACTAATGAAGCATATTATTCTGAAATATATTTCCAAAAAAAAACAATAAATAGGCGGTTATTATTATATAGCTTTTATTGTCATAAAAGGAGTACAACACATCCCACCAAGACAGTAAAAACACAAGAGTAACCTCGCAGGTGAAAAAAAAAGACCATACATGATGAATACTTCCATCAGGATACAGATACAGAGAAAAAAATACTTCAACAAGAGTTGCAAAAACATTGACAATTATAGATTTTGTCCCTAATATATCAATAAAACTTTTAGAGTAGATTACTAATTCCAACCTGTCAAGCATACAGATACAAAAAGTAGAAAAGAACCATAAGCAAATAATTCCTAAATGGGTCAAATTAATAAAGTTGTTTAAAATTTTAATAAATGTTTTTAATTTGATTTTAAATAACGGCAGTGTTCTACTATTAAGCAATCCTATTATTTCTTTAGAAACTTTTGCAGAGAAATAAAAAAAACATCTCTATCCTATTTTTTTAGATACCTTAGGTTTGACAGTGGCTTGGTTCATTCTGGTTGGGTATTGAATTATTCCATTCAAAATAAGCAAGTTAAGTTGAGTGCCGTTCCAATAAAAATATATTTGTTTCCCAAATTTTTTCCAGGTATAATCTTCCCATAAAAGGTTGAGGAAGTTTCGGCTGTTACACCCCGTATATTACCTTTGATCTTGCTAAGTTGATTAGCGGTTACCGATTTAATTATTTTAAAGGAATTTCGATGTAGTTATCTGTTATATGCACTGTCAATATAGTCACAGCCCAGTAAAGAACCAGTACTTACGGGGAACACGCACACGTACACGTTCGAGCAAGGAAACGACAGGAAAAGCTCATTAAATTGCTCTTGTCGTCGTGTATTTTTAATAGCCCCCCAATAAAATGCAAATATGTAAACTTATTAGAGTTCCATAATCTAGTTTGATGAAAGATGGTACCAATTTTAATTCTGTCAATGACCATTGCATCTTAATTTTTACGGCAAATTAGAAGACAAGCGCTTGCACTCTACAATGCAACACTACTCATTAGGCAGATTGCGATCGATTATATGCGACGCGACAGTTGATTCATTCGATAAATTACCCATCATACTAAAGACATGGTCAATAACGTTTTCTCTTCG